TTCTCACAATTTGCTACACAAGGACAATGCATCTGTCTCTGCATCTTGTTAAACTACCCTTTCTGTCAAGTTTTTGCACAAGTATTTTCAAATTCTTGTTAAAATATTCCGTCCCTGAAGACAGGAACTCATCATACATTTAAAGACATATTTATTTATGCTTTCTTTAAACCTGATGTCAGATAATATCTTTTGATATCTCCTACTTTTTTTCTGTGGAACAAAAATCAATTTGTTCACTCCCTGTCATTCATACTCATCATACTTTCCAAGCAGTTACTTGTTTTCCAAGTTGAAGAGCCCTGGTGTCAATTTGCCCTCTCTTTTAGAGACTTCCAGATTCTTCTTCTTTTTTTTTCTTTATGTCTTCCCTAGCTTATCTGTTTGGGGTTTTACTGTTGTTTTTTTGTTTGTTTTGTTGTTGTTTTAAAATGGAGAGGCCACAGCTGCATGCAGTATTCAAGATAGATAAACGTTCTGTATTCATGAACAGGCTGCCATGTATTTCCTGGATTACTATCCTATGCTTTTCTTCTGCATGTCTTTTACAGAATCCTAGTTTTGAGATGCTTTTCTAATGGCCACTGAAAATTGAGCTCCCCTGTTCATTCTGTTACTTGAGGTTATTATGCAGCAGATCCAGTGTAAGCATGAATGCTATTCATGTCAGTTGTGTAAATTCTGTTGATCACCAAAGTTCTCTCACTCCTAGCTACAAGGTTTCTCTTCCCTATCATACTTTTCCAGTTCAAAACTTACTTCTTACCCTGTGAAATGAACCAGAATGTAAATAAAGCCAAAGCAGAGGTGTTCTGATCTTAAGTTTCACATCTGAAAGCTTAAATTTTGCCTCTTAAACCCTCCTCTTACTTCTCTTGTGTTACCAACACAAGATGTGTTGTGTTGTGTTATCAACACAGAGATCATAAGTAGTCACCTGCTCTTTTGCAGATATTGGCAAAATGCCTTATCTACTGAACCCCTTTGTACTCCTGAAGTATGCAACCAAGCTACACTTAATGCTACAGCAAAGACCAGTTACTCATATAGTTGCTAATACCAGCTGCACTAATATGCCTCTTCCTATCAGTAAGAATCACCAGATGGGAAAGGAAATTCTCAGTGCAAAGAAATATATTCCTATCTGGTGGAGAGATTAACCTTGTCTTATATCACAAGTCCAGTTGCTCTGTTCTCAAAAAGCAAAAATTCATCTACTTCAGCCAGGGACGTTGTCCACAATTAGTGATAAACAGTGAGTTTCTGCATTACCAACTGGACCTCAGTCTGTTTTCTTCTGGATGTCTGAGCTTCTATTGTTGATTGAACATATGTTCCTTAATAGTGAAGTCAAACATCCATTTTGTATATAATTCTTTTCCTCATCAGAATTCTATTCCTTTAAACAAAAGAGCTGTACTGTGGTCTCTGATGTACTTGACTCTATGCCTCAGCAATAGCAAAACCTCAGCTCCACAAAGACAAAATATGAAATAACTGGGCAGTTTCTCCAGAAAAGGGTCAAGGAATCTGGACATCACAGCTAAACATGTATTAATACACTTTGCTGTAAAGACAGGTAGATCTACCATTAAAATAAGCTGAATAATCTTTTGCTCCCTTTTGCACTTCCTAAATATCAGCAGAAATTCTTAGCTGATTTCAAACACTTCAAAAACATTGAACATTATAAGGAACAAAAGTGAAAATTGTGAGAATAACAAAGGCTAAAATAACATTCATGAAGCATCAACAAATTTTGAAACTAGAAAGCAAAAGAAAGTTATACCTGAACAGTATTCAAATACATAAATATATTGGCAAGAGCATAGAACTAAACTGTTCTCCCTTTCTGTTGCTGCAGGACAAAGTGCTAAAATTACTCCAAAGGAGATTTGCAGGGTAAGAATTTTCTGCTAAGAATAGTTAAGCATTAAGGATAAATTGTCAGAAATTTTAGAATGCCTGACTTTGGAGGCATTAAAGAACAGATTAATGAAGCATCTGTAAAAAAGCAATGTAGCTTTGGCTTATCCTGCCTGGGGAAAAAGAAGGATTAAGTGACCTTTTAAATGGGTCACACTTTTTAATAACCTTGTGGGTTTGTTGTTTTTTCTTTTTGAACAGGATTTCTCCACTGATATTTCTGAACTGTATTTATCCCCTAGGGAAATATCTTATTTAATACAAAGTTTTCTGTTTCATTTCTCCTATAAGTGCTTCAAGAGGCCTACAAGCTTAACCAGAGATTGTAGTGATAGAACAAGGGGCAATGGCTTTAAACTAAAAGAAGGGACATTTAGTTCAGATGACAGCTGCACTCGTCACTCTTCAAATCAGTGGAAAGAAACAGGTGTCATAAATTACATAAATTGCATCCTGGAAGTGCCTATTTCTCCCGTTAACTTCTGTTGCTCTCTGAGTAACCAACACAGTCGTAGCTTTGTCTGTATGTACCTCTGAGCACATCTTACTAAGACTTCATATCCATCAAACTTAATTGGATCAAATGGTCTGCAATATAAACACCACGATATTTGGTGTATAAATGCCTAACATCTTTTAACAAATTCCACAGTGGTTTCTGCAATAAAGTGTCAGCTGGCAAGACACAGTCTAGCCCATTCACTACCTAGAGATGCTGTATTGGGTTTATTTAGTTTAAGGTGCTTAGATGTGGATTGTTCGATGGATTAGGAATTGGCTGGCGGGTCACAGCCAAAGGGTTGTGATCAATGGTTCTGCGTCAGGGTGCAGGCCGGTCACAAGCGGTGTCCCTCTGGGGTCGGTCTTGGGACTGGTGCTTTTCAACATCTCCATCACTGACAGACGATGGCACTGAGTGCATCCTCAGCAAGTTTGCAGATGACACCAAGCTGAGTGTGCAGTCGATACACTGGAAGGAAGGGAAGCCATCCAGAAGGACCTGGACAGGCTGGAGAAGTGGGCCCATAAAAACCTAATCAGGCTCAATAAGGCCAAGTGCAGGGTGCTGCAATTGGGTCGGGGCAATCCCAGGTATTTATAGAAACTGGGAGAAGATCTCCTTGAGAGCAGCCCTGCGGAGAAGGACTCGGGGGTCCTGGTGGGTGAGAAGCTGACACGAGCCAGCAGTGTGCACTTGCAGCCCAGAAGGCCAACTGTGTTCTGGGCTGCATTAAAAAAGGGGTGGCCAACTGGGATTGTTTCAATTGGAGAAGAGAAGGCTTTGGGGAGACCTCATTGTGGCTTTCCAGTACTTGAAGGGAACATATAAACAGAAGGGGGAATGGCTGTTTACGAGGGTGGATGGTGATAGGACAAGGTTTTAAATTGAGACGGGGAGGTTTAGGTTAGATATTAGGAGGAAGCTTTTCAGTCAGAGGGTGATGATGCGCTGGAATGGGTTGCCCAAGGAGTTTGTGGATGCCCCATCCCTGGAGGCACTCAAGGCCAGGCTGGATGTGGCTCTGGGCAGCCTGGTCTGGTGGATGGTGTCCCTGCATATAGCAGGGGTTGGAACTAGATGACCATTGCCTAAAATGTTGTTGGCATTTCCGCCTGGCACATTTTTAGCTTGATGTCCAGCAAGATCCCCAATTCACCCTCCATGGAGTTGATTTTCAATCATCATGGTAATCCTGTCACACCATCCATGCCACCACATTTCTCATTTCAATTACATTGCTGTTCTTTGTCTGCATACAGTGTTCTAGTTTCTCCCCTTTGTTTCACAGGCTGCTTGGATTTGTGTACATGCACTTTAGATTAGTTTTATTTTATCCTGTTCTGTCATTCCTGAGGACTCACTTTATCTTGTCACCTTATACTTTTCTCTTTCCATCACTGTTAAGCCCCGCTTAATGACATAATTTGCCTTTTCCATCATTCCTAGTGAATATTCACCTCAACAGGTTTACCAGCTTCATCAATAAGATTATTTTGTCCAGCTTTACCAAATGGCCCTTGTCTCCCCAAGCAGTTCCTGATCCTCAGAGAGAGTGCTACAGTTGTCAAAGCCTGTCATCTGGACCAGCTATGCAAAACCAAGTGTTGCCCGCAGCATCCAGGCCTTTCACCCAGTCTTTCTTCCTGTAGGGTCACAGAAAACACCACCTGGACCCCCATGTCCTATACCTTCCCCCTCAAATCAGAGTTGTATAGTCACTCTGAACATGCTCAAGGCCTCCCCAGTAGTATCTTTGGTGTCCACCTGGATAATCAGCAGGGGATAGTAGTCCAAGGGCTGGACAGACTTCAGCATCTCCCTGAAACACCTTATATGCAATGTTCCAACACAGAGCAAACATCCCTATATGTTATCACATCACCAGAAAATGGCCTTCAGTCCCTGAAGAGACAGTCTTTCACTGCTGTCACACACTGATGCTGCTGCATGTTTCAGGATTTGCTGGCTCTAAGCACACCCCAAGTAGAGCTTCCACTCTTTGCCTGATGCCAGAGGCCAAACCAATTCTGCAGTTGCAGATCTGCTAATGGAGAAAGAGCCATCTTCCTCTTACCAGAAGTTACAAGCAACCAGCATTCTCAGTTCTGTGAGCCTCCAAGAAGCAGACTCCAACGACTCTTTCTTCTGTGCATATAGAAATTCAGGAGCTTGTCTTTGCAGATCTCTGTGAATAACTTGCTGATCTCTTTTTCATCATCCTTTGTGCTATGCAGCCTGCTCACCTCCACCCACAGCTTCTTAACTCATCAAAACAGCACATCTGCAAACAAGGGCGCATGCCTTCATTTTTCTTAGCTTCAGCAAAAGGCACCAGGCACTCTCCTTAAAAATCAGAGCAATGCAGAACCTGTGTCACAGATCTTTTTCTGAACTAGGACACCTGAATCTGCTTTTGCAATACTAAGACTTCCTTGAAACATTCATGGAATTATTATTTTTTTTATTAGAGAAGATAACTAATGCTACACAAATATACAATTTTATTAAATAATATTGTTTCATTCTGTTCTGATTTTATGGTTCACAGTATGCCTTGAGAAAAGGTTAAAATTTATAGAACTGAAATAGTACCCAGGTGATGTAAATCTTTTACTGGATGTACACAGTCCTCTGTAGTGTTGTGAAAAGAGTTCACATACACACTGCAAGCTTTCTCTGGAGCTGTGTGATCAGGAAACTTGTATTTAATCTTTAAACTCCTTTCCAGCATTTTTCTTTTGTGCTTGAATTCCAAAATAGTTTTTGTATATTTGTTAATAGTGGTGACAGCTGCAGCCATACAGCAAGCGAAGGAAGCCCAAGCGAGGCTATAAACAAAAAAGTTTATTAGAAATTAGCAGAACATCTTCATATCCAACTTCTTCAACTTTATTTTTGAAAAAATGCACCCAAGATGTTGCATTGTTTTATACTAGGGAAAGAGGAGCATATTCAGAGAAGAAGAAATGCATTTGGTTAATTGCCATCCACATACCTGACTTATAAAATTGGACCTCTGTATAATGCTTACATTTAATGTCCCTCCTTATAATATCCACATTTAATGCCTCTGATTCCTCTGTTCATTATAAGAAAGAGGAACTACATAAAAATGAAGATCCTTAAAAAATTAAAATGTGCAGCTACTGAGACTAAAAATCTCACCTGTGAGTAATTTGTGTCAGTTACTCACAAAGATTTGTAAGAAAAGAGTTAAATAACAGGGTCAAACACTGAAATACATACCTGAGAAAATACAGGTGATGGCTAAAGAGGAAGAAAATGACACCAACTATGAAATGTTTGGAATAACACCATAACAAGACAGAGCTAAAAACTGATATTGAGTTACAATTTACTGGAGATACAGGAAAACTCTAGACTACCGAATGGGCAATGCATGCTAGAAATGTAAAATTATCATGTAAAAATATGGTCACAGTGGAATGAATTAGAGTTTACAGTGAAGAAAGTTAGCAGAGCCTTTCTTGGCAAGCCACATGGCAAGGTCAGGATAATCAAATGAAATATGTGTTTTAGTGGAGAAATCAGTTTAAGAAACTCCTTTTAATATCTCTTCTCCTTCATAGCTGTTTGTTCCTATATCCTTGCTGTAGTTCAGTGAACTCATTTGTGTTTTTAAATAACTCTTTCTTTTTTTTTATTTTTTCCCCTTTAAAGTGCTATTTCAGCAAGGATTAGTTAACAGGATAATCAGACAACCAGATGCTTTGACAGAGTTTGAATGCAATGGAGTATGGCCCACAGATGCACAAAACTATTAGAAGCAGGAAGAAGAAGGATCAGTTTAAGTTATGTTTTCTCCTCAAGTCAGCCAAATTACACATTGACTTACCATCTCAAATATAAGGATGGAGAAAGTCAACAGAAGCAGGTGTTTCAGGATTTGTTGGCTCTGAGCACACCCCAAGTAGAGCTTGGCCTCTTTGCCTGATGCCAGAGGCCAAACCAGTTCTGCAGCTGCAGATCTGCTAATGGAGAAAGAGCCATCTTCCTCTTACCAGAAGTTACAAGCACCCAGCATTCTCAGTCCTGTGAGCCTCCAAGAAGCAGGTAGATGTACATCACCATTCAAACTGAACACAAATGGAACAGCAGGTCTACCTATGGTCATATGTAAACAATGGCTTGAGCCAACTGTAGTAGAGAAGAGCTGAAGATGGCAGCAATGAAATCAAGTTTTAGCCTATGAGATGATTTAAAGGTAGTGTATCTGATCCATGTAAAAAGCATTTTGACTGAATAAATAATGCACTGTAGCATTAGTAGAAAAATTGATATAATTAATACTATGAAACACAACTCTTGTTCACCACCCTGTTAAAGCCCTTTGAAGAAACTACTAAAATAAAGAAACTGATTACGAGAAAACTTTAAAAAAGGCCTCTTACCAAAGACTGAAAAAAATTGAGCTCTTATAAGCAGATACTTCTGCAGATCAATGTTATGTTAAAATATACAAAACAAAAAATAAAATTGTTTCCTTTGAAAATAGAAGAAGATATTAATGTAACTCTTCAAGATTTTTCCCAGAACTTTACATTTGCCATAAACAATTTGGAAAAAAATAAAATAAAAACAAATAAATAAATAAAGAACACACTGGCTGAGGAGAACCAAAGAAAGAAGTGAGTGAAGTCTTGTTACTGAAAGAGCCAGAGGATAAAGGAAAGATTGGCTACAGTGGAAATTCAGCTTCAAGAAGCAAATTCAGTTTGAACTCTGCTCAAAGATTAAAGGCAAAAGCATGATCAGAAAGATCAACTGGAAAAGAAAGTGGACTACAGCAATAAGTTCATCAGGATAAAAGAATTACAGATAAAAGCGCAACTGGAATACATGTTTTTCCATCACTGCTTCATGATGGAAACTTGATGAGAGATTCACTGATAATATAAACATCTTTCAATCTACCTAAGAAGATAAAAAAGAAATATGGAGAGATTTATTGTTTTAGATCCAGCTGGGATGGAATTGTTTTCTTCAGAGTCTGGCATGATGTTATGTTTTTGGTTCTTGGAGAAGAACAAGGTTGATAAGACATTGATGTGCAAACAACTGCGATGCTGAGCCACCTGCTGGGTTAAACCACAACACTTATTATAAAGATGTTCAGGGCCACCACAGACTGAGCCTACCCGTCAGTAGTGATTATTGTTGCAGGTGCCTTCTGGACCAGATGGAAGTAAACTCAGACACTGCAGCCAGATATGAGGAGACATGAGAAGATGTAGCAGGTGGAAGAAGCACGACAGAGGATCAACAGTTCTTGCAGGCATTGAAGTTCTTCTCCAATGAGTCTGGAGGTTGGGATAAAAAACTGCTGCCACTGGCCTGATTCTCTGTTTTCCTTGCTGTAAGGGAGGTGATGTTAAAGAGGACCCAATGGTAAAGCAGTAAAATCTTTTCCTGTGTGTCTGTCTGTCCATGGTCTTAGTGACACTGACCACAAGTGGTTGTTGGGATAATCAAAAACAGAGTTAAATACAATATGAATGTCCAACTTTTGACATTTGTCTTCTTTACTCATACAGTGTCAGTGTCTTTCCCTTTTCACTCTCATGAGGTTCTCCCACTCAGTCAGTAGGAGAGAAGTTTTGGAATGGAGTTGAGGATTTACACAAAAATGAGGAAAGTCCAAATGTGGGCTATCAAAAGAGAGACAATATGGCATATAGAAAGAGATAAGAGGAAAGAAACAAAGAAAGACAGATGGAAGGAGATGAGGCATGTATTTTTTGCTTTATTCTTAGATTTGAATGGAGTGACATGACTACCTTTCAGGCTGAGTAAAGGAAAGAAGAAAGTAAACTTTGCCAGAAAAAAAAAAGGGAGCATGTGATTGATTAGAAAAAAGACACCACAGGCACCACACAGACCATCTTTCTCTATGTCCTTGTACATGCAGGTACCAATGGCTTCCTTGTATGTTGGACAAATATGTTAAGCTACATCATTTCTCATTATTTGAATAGTCTCTGTCTTTGAAGTTTTGACTGGACCCATACTTAAATGCACTGAAGGCACAAGAGAAACAGTTTATACATATTGAACAGAAGCTTCCAAACAAGCTGCTTCTGCTCAGGAAATTTAGACTCCTGGAGACAAAGCAATGTAGAGTGACCTTCAAATGTGATTCCAGTTATTAGGAATGTGGAAAGTAACAAAACAAGAGACAGGGGAAAAAAAACAAACACTATTTCACTGCAAAATTTCTAGAAAATCTGCATTGTAAAGACATAGCTATAATTTCTTATTCAGTACAAATACAATAAATCTTAAAAGAACAGAAGTGTGAATGACAATGAGCCGTGATCAAAACTCTCAAAACTGCTATGTAGAGAATTAGTCTGAGCTTTGCCTTAGTGACACTAAATATTGGGCCCCAGCAGACTTTGGATTTAACCCAATCCCAATACAATTGTTTCACCACTGACATAATGACAGCTGTTGCCAGCAAGTATCATCTGAAAATCCATAGAATCATCATAGAATCATAGAATGAAAATAACCTCAGAGATCATCCAGTTCCTACCCCCTGCTATATGCAGGGACACCATCCACCAGACCAGGCTGCCCAGAGCCACATCCAGCCTGGCCTTGAATGCCTCCAGGGATGGGGCATCCACAAACTCCTTGGGCAACCCATTCCAGTGCATCACCACCCTCTGACTGAAAAGCTTCCTCCTAATATCTAACCTAAACCTCCCCTGTCTCAGTTTAAAACCATTCCCCCTTGTCCTATCACCATCCACCCTCGTAAACAGCCATTCCCCCTCCTGTTTATACACTCCCTTCAAGTACTGGAAGGCCACAATGAGGTCTCCCCAAAGCCTTCTCTTCTCCAATTGAAACAATCCCAGTTCCCCCAACCTTTCCTTGTAGGAGAGCTGCTCCAGCCCTCTGACCATCTCAGTGCCCTCCTCTGGACCCGCTCCAAGAGCTCCACGTCCTTCCTGTGCTGGGGGCCCCGGGCCTGGACGCAGTGCTGCAGATGGGGCCTCACAGGAGCCGAGCAGAGGGGGACAATCACCTCCCTCTCCCTGCTGGCCACCCCTTTTTTAATGCAGCCCAGAACACAGTTGGCCTTCTGGGCTGCAAGTGCACACTGCTGGCTCGTGTCAGCTTCTCACCCACCAGGACCCCCGAGTCCTTCTCCGCAGGGCTGCTCTCAAGGAGATCTTCTCCCAGTTTCTATAAATACCTGGGATTGCCCCGACCCAATTGCAGCACCCTGCACTTGGCCTTATTAAGCCTGATTAGGTTTTTATGGGCCCACTTCTCCAGCCTGTCCAGGTCCTTCTGGATGGCTTCCCTTCCTTCCAGTGTATCGACTGCACACTCAGCTTGGTGTCATCTGCAAACTTGCTGAGAGTGCACTTGAATTCAAATGCTGACTACTGAACAAATTTGAATGGATTTTCAGAAGCACAGCAAAGACATGCATATAGCAAAAATCCCTTGCATACCCCGCTTTCTTAATAAATTATTTTGCCTCAGAAGAAATGTTGCAATTGGTTATAGGGCTAAAATAATGTATTTTTGCCAAGCCTTTTCTCAAAAATTTACATTTTGTCTGAAATGTTCCACACGCAAAGAATTGAAGTAAGGAAATATTTAGCCTAAGTGTATGAGGCCAGGAGAGTTTTAAATAATTTATGCAAGGCAGTCTTCCTGGAAAACAACGGTACCAAATCTGGGTCTGAAAAAAATGGGTAATCTGATGTATGTGGAAAAGAACCTCTGCCTCATGCAGAACTGTCTAAAGGATGGTAATTGCAAAACTCACATGTTTATGGATTCTATGCAATAATCTAAATACTGAATTTGGAGAAAAAACATCTAAATCAGGAGGGAAGAAGGTGAGATCCATCCATTATAAAGTAGATATAAATTCTTTCAATATAGGGTGAAGTGACTGAAATGTAAAGGAAGAACCAAACATGAGCAAATAGGTACCAATAGGACCAGCCATAATCCCATGTGTGAGGTCTCCAGTCTTCAGGACCGAGATTTACAGTCATTTGAAATACAGTTGTGTACATCATGTGAGCAACCATGCCCAGAAGACCTAAAAAATACAATATCATGAGAATGTTAGAAAATGCAAGCTGCAGCCATTCTTCACTCTCAACTTATCGCAGTTGTATCTTGAGTTTCTGAAGAACATTTTTCAACATATCTAAACTCCATAAGACATTGAACATACATATAAACATACTGGACATTGTTATCTGGTTGTGTTTATGTGTTGTGAGTCTATCATACAATCACTAGTTCAATCCTTTGACATCTTCAATGTATGCTAGTAGAATCTATGGGAACAGTGGAATATGCAACATAAAAGCATAAAAAGCAACATTAAAAAGCAAAAAAGTTACTGGTTCTCACTCTCTACTTTTAGTAATTTAAAATCTACTTTTAGTAATTTAGCCCTGAGCAGGCATCAGCCATAACAGCGAAGTCTCACTCAATTGCATTGTGCAGGTCACATTTCCAATAGTTCTATCTTTCATTGGAAAGATTTTCAAAAGTACAAGTATTGGTAGTATTGGTGCCTCAAAAACAGACAGATTTATCTCAGCATATATACACTCAGCATTATTTGAGTAAATGAAAAAGTGAGCAATTACCTAATGCCTATTAAAAAACACTGCAAGACTCAGTTGTTAAAATGGATTCTATTTAATCATCCAATTTTCAAAATTCCTACAAAGCTACTACCCAAGCCTAATGAGATCTCTTTCCCTCAGCATTTTATTTTCAATCAGTGAACTTCTCCATTATCTTCTGTATTTTTTGTTTCCATCTATATATACAAATCCACAAATATCCTGGAAGTATCAAGCAACTCACTGTCTAAAACACCAGATTTTCATAGCAGACAGTCCCCCACAAACCCCCACAAGATCCAATTGATGGATGTTCCCAAAGTAGCTCTGCTTCATGAATTCTTGAGGGAAAAAAAAAAAAAAAAAAAAAGGTAAAAGCAATTGCTAGTCCACAGAGGCTCTCAGTCTAGGACATAACAAGTAGAAGTTGACAGTGACCTGGCTTCAGAAGTCATTACAAAATAGTCTTTCCTGAAATACTGGATGGTGAACCTATTGTTTACCATAACTACCTCCTTGGAGTTCTCATATAAGGATAAAATTTCACAATAATTCTTTTTTTTTTTTTTTAGGTGAACATATTCTACTTTAGTTAGAACATTGATTTTAAGACTTTATTTGGTCTGAGCTAAAGACTGAGGGAAATTAAACCCTGACTTTTTTAAATGATCAAATACTACAGCTGTTTTCTTAAAATATGTGTTTTCAGTACAGCTTTAATTATGTAGCCATTCTTTACTGCACATCCTATTAGTTGACTTTCAGTTTGTTTTTCTGTGCTATAATCAAGAGCATGTTGGTATAAAAAACTACATTTTCGTTACAGATTAAAGTGTAGGAATCTTTAAATCATTTCCTTGACTATGTAACATATGTAACTAGATTTGGTTCATATTTACAATAGATTATATGTCAATTTAACAGCCAAGACAGATGTTCTTCAATTTTTTAATATCTCATGAAATGTTTAAAATAAGGATCTAGCTGAAGTAAAGAGCATCCAGTAAAAACTTGCTGTGTGAGCCTCCTTAGTACTGTACAAAGGCACATAAGGAATATTAATAATGGTGAATGCTTATGACTATTGACACAAGGAAAATGTGCTAGCAATTGGTGAAACTGTCTAAATAGTTAAATTAATCTCGTAAACGTGTATGGAAAGAGAACTTCTGCTCCTTTAAGTGTATCTGCACTCGACCTTTTTCTTGTGCAATGAAGAATAAGAAAGGAAGGAAGCCATAGACAAAAACATATAGGGACACAAACCTGACAGACAAATGATACAGGAAGCAGTGATAGGAACCAAACTGAAGAGCAGATAGAAAGGAGGAGAAAGGAAGGGAGGACAAGCAGGAAGGAGTAATGTGGGGAGATGGGGGGGGGTGGGGCTAGTGAAAGAGTATGGTGGTGCTGGTCCTGTATGAAATGGGGGCAGTCAGTGCTATCATCTGGCGAAGCCCATTGCCTGATCTGAGCAGTCTGTCCTATCTTCTTCTATTTTCTTATTGAATCTTTTTCTTAAATATCTGTGTACTTGTGCAATCTGCCTTATGTGCATGTGGACTGCAGAGACTGTGCCAGCTGCTGATGTGTGCATGTGTGAAAACTGGTGCTAGCTCTTGGGAGTCAGGCCAGGGGATGAGGCACCCCTAGCTGTGCTGTCAGCTGCTGAACTGAGTGAAGTTTCTATTGTCAGGTCCTACAAACTCTGAACCCTAAGTGCCAGCTACTGGAGTCAGACTAGGGGTATGGACCCCTGATACCAGATCCTGGTTTTACCTACCACTGAAACACAACTGTGTGTTCCCCAAACCAGCTGCTGGCAAAAAACAGTGTGACTGAGGGAATGTACATGTGTGTGGATGTGACTTTAAATGATTAAGGTCCCCTCAGTATGGGTGGAATTTAATGCCACTTACTGGAGTAGGGCTGGGAATGTGGATGCCCCAGGCTGTGAATGTCAACTACTGGAACCAATGAGGTCCCAGTGCAGCTTCTGATGTGTGGGGGGGTCTTCTACTCCTGGTCACTGAGGCAAGAGTGTTGTGCAATCCCAAACCATCTACTGGTGGGATGCTGACTTGAATGAAGCAAGTGTGGGGCTCCATACTGGTGGCTGAAGCCAGGCCATGCATCACAGCCCATGTAGGAGGTGACTGTCCATATCTTCCCCAAAGCTGATGTATGTGTGCGGGGTGTATTAGCCAGCAAACTCCAAGCTGAACCAACCAGCAAATAATGGTGCTGCAGGTCCAGTCTGGGGCATCAGGAGGGGTGGGAGTTCATGCTGTTACATCCAGGGAGACTTGCAGCATGGAGTGCACATGGGATGAGTGTCTGTGTGTGATAACTGCATTTTTGCAGTATGCATCAGGCTGGACTAAACTGTAAGTAGGACACCTGAGAAGCAGACAAGGGAGCCCAGGATCTGGGCAGGCATACTGGACAGACAGAGGGTTTGTGCCACCATGTAGAGCATCTGGGAATGTCTGTGTGCTTGTGAACCTAGGCAGTGCTGTGTATGTGCCTGCGCTACTGATTTCCTGCCTCTGCCAGCCCAAGTTGAGAGTCAGCTTTCTGTGTTCATGTTCTTATGTGAATCCTCTGTGTTCAAGTCAGTGTTTTGACTATGGCAGGCTGACTATGTCACGGTTCCTTGCATGTCTGTGTGTGTCCTATGTCACTGTGACATGTAGTCAGCATTGCTATTGGATAAGCTTGCAAAAGGGCAGAGACATGGGGTCCACGGGCACAGAGATGGGCTCTACTGACCAAGAAAGAGGAGTCTGGTGCCAGAGTGGTTGGAGGAAGTGGCCATGCTCTTTACATCACTTAGGCTCACTATTCTTTCCTTAGAAATAGACCTGACAATGGATGAAGAGATACAGGTAGAAATATTTTGGCAAAAAAGTAAGCTTATTTAGTCAGTATGCTACTTTACTAAGTCTGTAGATGAAGTTGAAAATAAAGAAAATCTCTGATCAATGATAAGAGAAAAATATTTAAAATATTTAAAAATTGTTTCCAGGAGCTCTACTGGTAAGTCCCTATTCAAGAAAGATTATGGAGGCAGGGGTCTTTTTTGAACAATTAGTAGAACTGGTGACTATGAGCATTTTTACCAGTTTCATGAAAGTCATTCAGAAAAAAAAAAAAAAAAAAAAAAAAAAAAAAAAAAAAAAAAAAAAAAAAAAAAAAAAAAAAAAAAAAAGAAAAAAAAAAGAAAAAAAGAAAGAAAAAAAAAGATATTCTACAATGTTCTCAAAGGTCATAGACAGCAAAGCCTGGGTACCACTCTGAGTGAGAGAAATTTGGAAATGTGTAAAAGTTAACTAAAAAGAAGAGGAAATCACCTGCTCTGTTTCAGGTGAAGATCCCTAATGACACAAAAATTGTAGCAGCGGTGGCTTTATATTGGGCATGAAGAAAACATTTCCATCATTAAGGTCTGGATTACATTTTCTAAGAAAGTCGCAGAACCTTTATTACAAAGGTGGGAGTTTTGTTCTGTTCTGTTTTGTTTTGTTTTGTTTTTGCTTTGTTTTGCTTTGTTTCGTTGATGGTGGAAGTTGGAGATTTTTCCTAACACAAGGCTAAAAAAATATCCATCAGAAAAAGATTAGGAAATTTGGGCCTAACTTGAATGCTGAACTAAAACTATAGTGTTCCAGACGTTACTATCTGGACTGTAAATCACTGTCTTCTAAAGTCCTTGGAGGCTCACCTCATTGTCTGCATTAAGCACTTTCCTCTAGGAAGACTAGAAAAGTTGAGCAAGAGAATAAGTAGAGCAACAAGAGTGATCAGAGGCAGTAGAAATATACGTGAAGTCATGTGGCATGTTTTTCTATTATTTCTTTCAAAGAAGATGAAGGTGAGACACAATAGGTGTCTTCAAGTATGCAAAGGCATCTTCAGAAAGGAAGAAAAGTATTTTTTTCCCCATTATAATGACTGGGCTTTTAAAAATCTTGGTTTACTTATCCATGAAATGATAATGGCAAATGCATTAAATATGTGATTATGTTTAAGAGGAAAAAGTATAATGAAAAACCTTTAATTCATGAAGAAAGGCACAGCAATCACGAGAACACTAAATCCACAAATATTAGAATTAGGATCAAACCCAATTTTCTCAGAGAAAAGAATCTTGAGATAAATCCATAAAGACATAGGCTTTGCCATCTGCTCATGTACTTGACTTGCAATTTGTGTTTTTAGAAGATATTCCTCAACTAACATAAATCACTTTGGACTCATGACAGTGTGAAAGATGATATGTGTTCCACAAGAAGTTATATTTCCTCTAGCTTTAAAATGAGTAACTATGAAACACTGTGCATGTTACCAGAAATTTTAGCTCAAATTTCCTCAGTAACAACTGTTCAACATAGAATTGCAGAGTAGCTCAGACTGGAAGACGCTTTCAGAAGCCTCTGGTCTGATCTCCAGTTCTCATCGCATGGTCAATGATGAACTCAGACCACATTGCTCAGGTAGTGATACTCTAAATTCTTCACCATGAGGACAGACAAGCAGTGGAATCGGCTTCCCAGGAAGGCTGCAGGTCTTATAGAACCAGAAGGATATAGTCCTGCTGTGCAAGCTACTCAGATCTTGGAGGTAACCCTGCTGTGAACAGGGTTGGACTGGGGACCATTTGAAGTTTCTTCTAAATTGAATTTGTCTAAGATTCTATTATGAGATAGCATTGGATTAAGAAGTAAAATGCAGAAAATTAAACACAATTTTTATGATGGTTTTCTGTTAAAAACTATGTGATTCCATTTTATTCCCTCTTATAACTGCCATTTTGATTGGACTATTGCTCATTTTATCCTCAGCGTATTGGAAATAGAAAATCAAGTTATTTTGAAGGTTTTTTTTTCTTTGACAATCAGACAGCCAAATTCAAAAGTTAAAACACTGACATTAAAAATAACAAGTACAAATATAAAGTAAACTTAAAAAAACATATTAAGAAATGACAGTAATATTTTCCATTTAAAAAAAAAAACAGCAGTGTGTTATTAATGTCTCAGTAAATATGGTAGTAGTTCACAATCCTGCACACTGTTATTAATCTTCAGCTTGAACTCTATTAATGTTAAATTTTCTGGATGTAATAAATTGAGATCCTAAATTGTACCTGCTAGTACGATGACTACTGCAGAAAAGGCGTTGATCTTTAGCCCATCAATGACAGTACTGTAGTAGCACATTTCTACTGACATAAGAACAACTCCAGTCAGAAGCAAAATGTTATAGAGTAGCTCTGCTACAATAGAAAGCCATAAAACCCCTGTAAAATCAAATAAATAGTGCAGAGATTATAAAAAGTCATTTAGTATTTTCACCATTTTTCTCTTCATTCATATTGTTTACATACTTTTAAACAAAAAGTCACAGAATCACAGAATCACAGAATGGCCAGGGTTGGAAGGGACCTCAAGGATCATGAATCTCCAACCCCCCTGCCACAGGCAGGGCCACCAACCTCCACATTTAATACCATATCAGGCTGCCCAGGGCCCCATCCAGTCTATCCTTGAACACCTCCAGGGATGGACAGGGCATCCACAGCCTCTCTAGGCAGCTGTTCCAGCACCTCACCACTCTCTGTAAAGAACTTCCCCATGACATCCAACCTAAATCTTCCCTCCCTCAACTTCAAACCATTTCCCCTTGTCCTGCCGTTATCTACCCTTTCAAAGAGTTGATTCCCCTCTTATTTGTAGGCTCCCTTTAGGTACTGAAAGGCTGCAATGAGGTCACACTGCAGCCTTCTCTTCTCCATGCTGAACAAGCCCAACTTCCTCAGTCTGTCTTCATAGGGGAGGTGCTGCAGCCCCTGATCATCTTCATGGCTCTCCTCTGGACCTGTCTTTTTTGTACTGGGGGCTCCACACTTGGACGCAGTATTCCAGATTGGGGCCTCACAAGAGCAGAGTAGAGATGGACAATCACCTCCCTGACCCTGCTGGCCACCCCTCTTTTGATGGAGCCCAGGATACCATTTGCTTTCCAAGCTGCAAGGGCACACTGCTGGCTCATGTTCAGTTTCTCATCCATCAGAACCCCAGGTCCTTTTCTGCAGGACTGCTCTCAAGGACTGCTCCTTCCAATCTGTATAAATGCCTGGGATTCCTCCGGCCCAAGTGCCATAACTTGCACTTGCTGTGTTAAACTTGCTGTGTTGAACCTCATCAGGTTCACCTGGGCCCACCTTTCAAAATCTGTTTCAGGTCCTTCTGAATGGGATCCCTTCCTTCCACAGTGTCAACCGCACCACTCAGCTTGGTATCATCAGCAAACTTGCTGAGGGTGCACTCGATTCCATTGTCAACATCATTGATAAAGATGTTAAAGAGCACCAGTCCCAAGACAGACCCCTGGGGGACGCCACTCATTATTGGCCTCCACCTGGACATAGAGCCATCGATCACCACCCTCTGTCTGCGGCCTTTTAACCAATTTCTTACCCATTGGGTGGTCCACCCATCAAATCCACATCCCTCCAATTTGAAGATAAGGATGTGGTGGGGGACCACGTCAAAGGCCTTGCTCAAGTCCAGGTAAATGACATTGGTCACCTTCCTCTTGTCCATCAATGCCATCACTCCATCACAGAAGGCCACCAGATTAGATAAGCTTGACCTTCCCTTGGTGAAGCCGTGCTGGCTGTCTCGGATCACACGCTCATTCCTCATGTGATCAAGCATGTCATCCAGGATGATCTGTTCCATGACCTTCCCAGGCACAGAGGTGAGACTCACAGGCCTGTAGTGCCCTCTGTCCTCCTTGCTCCCTTTCTTATAGATGGGAGCAATGTGACCCTTTCTCCAGTCATCTGGGACCTCACCTGACTTCACCTGAAGTCAGAGGCTGTGAGAATGCTATTTTAACATCAATAAAAAGACTTCAAGATCAACAGCTGCCCTAACGTATTATTCCTCTATTGGTCATGTAGTGAAAGAGCTTTTGCACGTTTCTTCTGTACATGTAAGAAGCTCACAGTTGAAGTTGAGAAAGTACAGTTTTTACACTGAATAGTTACCCCAGTCATTAGCAAACATATTCCCTTTTAGTTTACAGTCTTTCACCACACAAGCTCTTTCTATTTGGACAGAGATGCCTTTATGTGCCCAGGCAATCTCTAGTTTTCACTGAGATTCATCTGTTAGTTCATCTCTCTCTAGTTATCTATTAGTTACATCACTGTTTTACTGTTCATATGCTAATGTCACACAGGCAGGAGCAGGCAGAATCCTCTTGTGTCCAGATAGTAGCAGGAACTGGCCAACAACTGGTCACTGAACCAAACAAACCTTCTTAAAAACAAGTCATTGTGTCCTTAGACATCTGATTGTATATCCACAAAGTGATTTCATAGATATATATAAACACACTAGGTATATATACATACATCTATATTAACAATCATAAATTAAAAATAGAAACATTGCTAAGACATGTAATTGACTAAGTACTACATACCTGTGCATTATATGAGTGGGGCAGTTCCTGGTCAAGGTGTATTTCTCAAGAAAATCTTTATCTTGGCAAAAAAGTTGATTTTGTTCAGGAAATTTGACTGATACATTAACCAGCAGTATGGTCCAATAATAGAACCTTGCATCTAAATATTTTTGAATAATGAGCCATCAATATACATGCACTGAGCACCTACGTATATCACCCTTCCTTGGGATTTTCAGCTTAGGAATAGCAAGCTTGATGCATCCCAAGTTCTGTGCATACAGCAGCCATATGTATGTGTGGAACACAAGCTTTGTCCTCCTGTGCAAGATGGGATGTGACAAGGGCAAAAACCTTTATTTCCACACAGGATTTCACTGCCCTAAGGTATTTTCACATTGCAGCATTCAGGTACAGAGGTGCTTTCTTAGGTGTCTTAATCTGACTTGTGACCAGGGGCCAAAGTCCTGTTCATAGAGGTGTTTCAGTACTACATCCACCAGTGGTTTTAGTTATGAGGAGCTCTCAGTCCCAGGCCCACAACCTACTCCCATGCTACAAACATCTTGAATTATTTGTGCACAGAGACATGGCTGCACAAAGGCGAGAAGAGGGGCTAGCCCTCAGATATTCAGTCTTTGTGCTACCCAGGTAGTTGCAAATGCATATCCAGGCAATTTGGACGAGAGAACTTTTCTAGTACGTATTTGAAAACCTTGGAGAAGACTTTATTCTGGATTAGCCACTTCCTAGATTGGTCTAACCATTTAAAGATGGGATTAACATTGGTGGGGACTCTCTTCGTGGCATCTAAAAGCAGGTTTTGTAGGAAAAGGAACTGTTCTTTGAAAGGACTAGGTTTACTCCATGCTTTCTGTAATTATCTTTGGGTTGCAAAATCTGGATGAATGGAAGTACCCAGTGAGAGCTATGTGTAGCTCATAGGGAGAGGATTCATCTCAAGATTAGTTTTGTTCACAGCACATCTCCCAAGTCCCTTGGGATTTAATGGGGACAGCAAGTTGCTTATCCCCATTTATATGCTACCATCCCTGTGTCCTTTCAAGGTAGCACAGTGTCAGCCATAAAGTTCTTGACTGTATTTGAGGGTATGAGGAAAGAGATAGAAAAACTTTAGAAATCCTAATTTCCAGTATCCTTATTCAAAATACTTTTTTTTTTTTTTTTTTTTTTTTTTAAGTTGCTATTGAAAAGGAGTAGTTTCAGAAGACACTGACATATATTTTAAGTCATGTGGGCTTCATTTTGAAGTGGAAACACTAAATAAATAAAAACTACATGCGATTTTTTTTTTCAACTCAAAATACATTATATTTATTATATTGGTAAATGTGATCAAGAATGTTTTATTTATGTAAACAAAATTGCATATTTACCTCGATCAGAAGCTGGAGTCAAACTGATAAAACTTCTACATTTCTCACCTAAAAACAATAATAATAACAATTTTAAAAGAAAATTCTGCATTATTTGGTATTCTGTAATGACCCAAAGAAACAGTTCAACAGAAAAAAAAAAAATTACCATAGAAGCACAAATTAAGATGACCAGGAAAACCTCTATTTAATGTGTGTTTGTACATAGTCTCTGATATGTAGATCAACTCCTGGAGATCCTCCCAGACTGTTTCAGAGCAGAAATAGTATTACCCTTTTATGGGAGACTTAGAGAAAGTCTTTGAAGTGTTTTCCAAAAAGTTACAACTGTGAAAGCCAAAAATTCAAAATCAGCAGTTAATTTCAAAGACTGTATTCCATCCAGCTTATGAATTACAGAATCACTAGGGTTGGAAAAGACCTCTACAGCAACAAGGCTACTGCTCACACTAAGTTTTTCAAAGCTTGACTGCTTTTTTATCTGAAAGCTTTGATTTTCAAACCCATGTGACCTCCTGGTTTCCGTGTAGATGCTTTGAACAAAGCTCTTGGAATTAATTTTGGTCTGAAAACTGCTCTGAGAACAGAGGATGGGCTTTTTTCAGCTACTAACTGCACCAAGTATGAACAAAAACAGCCATAGCCAACAGATTAATTCTATGAACCCAGTATCTACAGCAATCTCTACCTAAAATAGTCTTTTTTTGTTGTTTTCTTTTGAGTGAGAGATGCTCTTTGCTCTGATCTTTGACATTAACCCCTTTAAAATTGCATAATGTACAAGATCTTTTGACAGAACTCACTCCTCAGGACATATGACTTCTAAAATATTTGTATTTTTTTGCACAGATGGCAGCTGACTTGATTCCTAGTTTTGTTCAATTCGGCATTCCTAAACTGATCAGAACAATAAGAAGAAAAATTTAACTTCGACCTGAATTCACAATATAAACCCAATTTATTGAATGAGTTAAGCAGTTCCCATATAGAAAGATCCAAAATTAATTAGAGGTTCTCTTACATAGCAATTTCTTCTCATTCTACTGATACCTATGTAATCAGAGTAAAACACAGTTATATGACAGCACTCACGATTCATGAATTCCAAATTCTTTTTTAGGAGGATGAAAAATAATACTATTCTGCTTTGGTTTATGTATTATGAGATCACAGTAAGAAAGTAAGAGTGCCTGTACTTAAGAGGAAATCCATGAAAAAACCTTAGTCTCACAGATTTAACTGGTAAAATGAAAATCTAAATAATTTATCTTTAAAAATGCATGTTATGGTTTTTATGTTGCTGCAGGGCAATCATTCAAGGCAAATATAACAGAACCACAGTACTGCAGGGTTTGTAATGGGCCTCTGCAGATCGTCTAGTCTAGTATCCCCAGAACAGGTTCCCTGCAGCAGGTTGCTCAGGTAGGCACCCAGGTGAGCATCTTCAGAGTAGAGAACTCCACCACCTCTCTGGGCAGCCAGTTCCAGGGTTCTCCCACCCTCACTGCAAACACCTTCTTCCTCATATTTGTTTGGAACTCGCTGTGCTGCATTTTGTTCCCACTGCCACTTGTTCTGTCATCATACAACAACGAAAAGATCCTGGCCCATCCACGATGGGGGTTATTTTTGCCTAAGAGAGTAACAACATCAGAAAATAAAACACTTCCCTGTTATGAGTAAAAAAAAAAAAAAAACAAACCTCGATCTACAAGATAGTCTGTCACTTTAAAATTCTTTACAGAATTTATTAGATTTTTTTTAGAAATTGACTGGGGAGTATCCTCTAATATTCCCTTTCCCGGAGAAGATCAACATTTAAAGGCTACTTATTCTTTTAAAATACATATGTGATATTGCAGCAAAGAAGAAATTGACATCAAATAAGTAGAAAAAACTCTGAGTATTTTCTAAAGTAAGTTTATGTGCTTTTACTCACCTTCCCCATTTATAATTTCTTCACACGAATACCAAATCCCAGCATGAAACTTTCGGTCAACAAACTTGTCATCTCCTGTCTCCCAGATATATTGCACAGCATTGCTGTTGTTGGCATCAGGGCTATTAAAGCGGATGCAGTTGTCCCCTTTGGCCTGTCCTATGCAGAAAGGTTTGGCAACTTTTCTTGTCCCTTCACACCAGTAATTGCTACTGAATGCTGTAATAGAGAAAACTAAAGAGAGAAAATTGAGAAAAAATGCTGCTGAGGCTCTCTGCCGTCTGTCTGTGCCTGGGGCTGAAACTGGCATCCTTTGGGACTGTCGTATCTGTTCTTCTGAAACAATCATTCACAAAGCTACATCTATATCTGTCTGGTGAAACACCTGCCTGCATTTACCATCCTAATCTTCATTCCTCTCAGTGAACTGCACCAGCTTAGCAGTTAAAGCAGAAAGCAGAGACAGAGGCGTAATCAGAAATCATGCGGTAGGAGAGATTAAAGATTTAGGGCAGTGCTGTTTAGTACTAACATCTTGTGAAAGAAATATGAGGAGAAGAGATAATGAATTATAATTTGGCCCAAGAGTCACAGGATAAAGGCACAAAGAACACAGAAGTATAAGAAGCATCACAAAATCAGAGTCACAATTGTAGGGGTTGGAAGGGACCTCTAGAGTTATTGAGTCCAATCCCCCTGCAAAGCAGGCTCCCTACAGCAGGCTGCACAGCTCAGCATCCAGGCAGGTCTGCAATATCTCCAGAGAAGGAGAATCCACGACCTCACTGGGTAGCCTGTAAAGCATACCAGTATGTAATCAGAAAAACAAAATATTTAAAGAAACAAAATACACTCGCTATCTCAATCTGCATGTGGAGTCAAACTGATGAAGCTTCTACATTTATCACCTAATAGATAAATAAAATTAATCTTGCAGTTCCAAATGCTCCTGTAACACAGAGCACTGAATTAACTTGAATACAGTCAATCTTAAATACTTGAGGAGATGAGAGAATTTCACAGCATTATAGCATTTCCCACCATTTGTGCTGAAATGAATGAGGAGCAGTCCCTGAAGAATGCTGCACAAGTCCTAGTCCTCATTCATTTTGCAGGCAGGGGTAGAAGTATATCCTCATACACCATTTGTTTAATCCTTCTGTCAGAAGATTTCCACTTTTAGTAGTGCTATGGGATTGATGCACATTCAGCAAAGCTTCTTGAGGACATTTACGGTACAATCTAAGGCCTAAGGTTTTCCACTCCTTGGCCTTGCAGACTTTCTAATATTCACTGAGGAATGACTAAGCTCAAAGATATGAACAAGGCTGCTTGTCAGGTAGCTTCCTCTCCTGTATATTAGCAGTTATCATTCAATAATTAGCTGTATTTCCAAATAGTTTGTCTTTTGGTTAACTGTAAAGCTGAAGCAAAGGCAGGATCCTGTCTTAAAACACAGTGGTTCCATACAATTGTTCTTTTTTTATGAGACTGGTTTACAAATTATTTTACAGTCACTGTATTGGACAACTTGAACAGCACAAATATTGTTGTGTTCTGAGTACAAACACAGGGGTTTTTATCTCTGCAGCTCTACTTCTTGTACTGAAACTCTTCTGAAATATCATTATCTGATCTGGAAAAGGAAAGCGTGTAATCAAGATGGAAAATGCTGTTTACTATATATCCCTTGCTTGTGCAGGAAGATCACCTAGAAATCATATTATAAACACTTCTAGAAAGGAAGACACTTGTTTACAGCGTTCTGGATGATACTTTTGATAGAGCACCTCAAAGAAACGGATACTGATATAGGCATCAAGAAGTACAAAAGCAGCAATAAGTGATGGTGTGAGGAAAACAGGAGCAGACACACAGCTGGTCCTTGGTGTAGCAGCAGGAATCAGATATAAAGATACCTTAGCATGGGTATCCTTCACTGACTGAGCCCTTGGGAGTGTTAATTCTAAAGGGAGACCAAAGAGAGATCACAGAGCATCAAGCATAAGTTTCAAGATGACTTTAGAAGATGAGCAGTTACAACGAACTTGTAGAAGCTGAAAGCTGAAAACAGAGCCTCAGCTGTTGGTGCCAGCTGTAAATGGGCTCCTGTGAGACACAAGGTTGCACTGCAGAAGATCCTGAAGATCTCCTCATCTAAGGCTGGGCATGTCCGACCCACAGCCTGCAGCCTCACGCAGCCCAGCACAGCCTGTCCTGCAGCTGCCCCAGCCCTGGCAGCAGCTCGGCCTCACAAAGTGGCCCTGGGCACACACCTATTGCACGGAACAGCCAAACACTGGTGTTATTATCTCAGCTGAAACCAGGACACAGGGAGGACACAGTGCAGTGCTAACTCAGGTTACGGCAAACAATTTTATGCATTCTGATACATTGACTAAACACAGTCCTGCAAACGGCATAAAAATACACAGCCTTGTTTTCAGTTTTGATAAGGGGAGTTGAGAGTACGTTTCAAGATTGCCAAAAAAATCATCAGTTTACATTTGTGATTCCATTTTCAGTTGACATAAATAAACTATTTACAAATTTTCAAATGAAGTGCATAGAACTGCAATCAGATGTTCAACTCAAAAATTTGATTATGTCTCTTTAGCAGACTGTTATAAGATCTGTCCTACCAGAGAAAGATAACCATCACGTCACAATCATGTCTTATTCATGTCATCACTTTCTGGAAGTACACACATTTGTGAACGATTATTGTCAATGATGAAGTACAGGAAGAGTAAAATTTCATCAAAAACCTCTGGCAAATGCCTTGAGATCTCACAAAGAATTGCAACCACTGCCATCGAATCAGACATGCATTAGTTTCACAGTAATGGGGTCAAATACTCTACTAGCTTTACAGTGTTGTTGCTCTCTTTTCTTTAATGTTTTAGTAAAAATTTAGTAAAAATATTAAAAGTTTAAATAAGTTTTATTACTTATATACATTAACTATTATTTACTTTACAAGGGCTGCTCTGAAAGTAATGCCTCCTGTCATATTGATTGATGACATCAAAGGTAGATGTTGGTGAGATGCCAGTAGAGGTTGAACCTTCCCACCAATATTCCATTACATTCTGTTGTCCTGTGACAGATGGCAGCAGAAAAGAACTCTGACAAATTGGACCCTGACAATGAAGTGTGTATCAAGCAAAGCTGTGCAACTGGATTCCTCCACATAGAAAAAATTGCACTCGTTAACATTCATCAGTGCTTTCTGAACATTTGTAGAGACCAAACAGTGGATGTGAGCACAGTGGGTGGTGTTTTTCAACAGGGCTGACAGAGACACTGGATCACCTCTGCTGGAGCAGCTTTTGAGGAGTGCAACATGCAGGCTCTTGTTCATTGTTGGTGAAAATGCATACCCAACAGTGGTGACTGTTGAAAAACAGTGTTTTGTAGCTGAGAGTTTGCTTTTTCAGAGTTACTGTCCTCATTGTATCAGTTGTAGTTTCCATGAAAATAAGTAGGAAGAATTACTTTCACAGAGACCTACCGAAGACAATTCCTCATCACTCAGTGCAGCCCAGACATGCCCAGGATTTCTTTAGCACTGAGACATTTCTTATAGTGGTCTCAAAAGAGCTCCAATGCCAGAGCACTGTTTGGGTTTGCTATTTGTAGCCTACTACAGAGCTGATCTTACTTACACAGCAATTAGAAAATTTGTATTTATCCCTTGTAATAATACACAGCTGAGCAATTGTTACAGGGATTTATAGATGCCTCTCCTTTGTCCTCAGAATTGCCCGTAGGTGTGGCATGGGGAAGATGTGTACTCAGGAGAACAATCCCTGGCCCCAGGCAATACAATGAAGGCAGCTGATGTCCTTTCTGACAGACCTCTTGAGGATAGAGTGGGTCCATTTCTACCCTGAAGTGCTTGCTTCTAGAGCACTTTTGTGTTTTGTTTCCAGAAAATTTCTGTACCACATCCAAGCCCTAAGTAAAGATGAGATATAATTATACATCATGCCCTTCTATTTTTTGATTCATCTAGGCCAAATTTTGGGCAGGGAGGGAGTCAGACACACTTACTAGTGAACGGGTTGAAACGGTGCACTGCAGTTTGCTTTAAGCCTATGTATGGAAATGAAAACTGGGTTGCCACTGGTTCTGCAATCTCAGTGGTGCATATCTATCCCTTCTCTGGCTGAGCTGAAAGGGATACCCATGAGTTCAGCGAGAGGAGTGGGGCCTCCTTCTGTACAAATAGCTGCAAGTCTCATTTCTCTTGGAAGTGCAGAAGGACACATCCACCTGAGCCTCCATGCTGCCCACTGAAAGTAGAAGCTAGGCTTTAAAATCTTTGTATTGTAAATATTTTTAATTTCCTGGGTTTGTGTATCACATAACTGAATATGAAAAGAATTATTGTAAAACTTTAACTGCTGACTATGTCAGTTTTTATACATTTAGGTTGTCCTTGATCCTGCACTGACTGTGCATGTTTGACAAAGTATTGATTAGGATGGATCCAAACACCTATTACTGAGACCGAGCTTCTTCCTGCCAACCAACTTCATTCAGCAAGCTTTTACAGATTTTGTACATTTTAGGTCATCCTTTTATAGTTTCATGAGGTGTGCATAAACATATGTATATATTTATGGAACTGTATTCCATTCTCACAAAGTCACTGGCAAAATTCCCATGAAGTTTCAAGGGAATAGGATCAGCTTCTTAATGTTTTAATAGTTTTGTGACTTCTTATTGGCTAAAGAACAAGCTGCAGTAAACAGACTTCATGTGAAGTTTAGAGTAAATTCTCTGTGACTTTAATCAGAAAAGAAAATAAAAAAGCAAGACATAGCTGGAAACCATCAAGTCTAGACATTTTAGTAGACTTCCTGGTTTATATCTAAGAAGATTCTTGAAACAGAAGGATAAAAGAAGACACTTTAAATCTGTTACACAGAAACAAGTGATACAACTGGTCTACTGTACAGTGATACAGCAGCATACTGGGAACAAATTTATTAAAATGGGCATGATTATACTTTTTGGTCTCTGCTCCAGCATGGGGATCTGGTCCGGAATATCTCCCATACCTGCCAGCTCAGTCTTGATATTATTTCTAGTGAAACAGGTAAGCCAATTCCATAATTAATAATTATCAATATAAAAGTGCATATATATTGCACAGCATTTTAACCTTACCTGCATGTTTGTTTCAAAAACATTTCTGTTATGACAAGTAATGTTTGTTAAAGTTAGTTATAAGAAGAAATATTGTCTGAGAAGCAATAGAATGATGTTATAACTCACTCAAAGTAGGTGATATATTACAATTTTATTCTATAAAAGCTGGTTCATACCAGTGAGTAAACCATGTTTACATTTATTTTTGCAGTCTCTTTTCATAATGACATTGATCATTAAACTAGTTTTATTTTTTGAATTTTCTACCAATATATCAATACTTTTGTGAAAATTCTTTATTTTCTACTGTTGTTTCCAATCATATTCTAATCCCAATGTTGCTTAATTTAGTGCTATCATTTAGCCTTTTAGAAATATACAAAGGGAAGGCATTGCTTCTCATATTTGTGAAAGCTGATGTTATTGGTTTTGTTCTGCAACTCAACTTCTAACATCAGGCTAGCAAAACTATTTAGATTGTTATTTCTAATTCTTGGAGTGCTCTAGCAAAACAGTCATTTCTTTCTTATTCTAAACCTATGAAAAATTAAAAGCTTTCTTCCTCATCTGTACTGTCTTGAAATTTGTGAGAGTTCTCAGAATTTAAGGACAGAATACCTCAGTGTTATTCTCTTCAGGGAAATTTTCTTCTTCTTTTTTTTTTTTTTTTTCCCCCTCCAATTTTATTTACTTATTTATGGATATATACCTTTATTTCAGTAAATTAATCAGATACATATATTAATGTGTTGAAGTTAATTCTGATTCATCCAAATAAAAATCATATGCAAATTTAGGGAAATAATCTGTGAAATAAGTATACAAGGCAATGAGCACAACTGAACAGGTTTACTTTACACTGAAATTATTAAGTTACTTCTAACCGCTTGTGCTACAATTGCATGTGAATGTGCTGTAAATACTGAAATTGCATGTGAATGTGCTGTAAATACTGAAAAACTGCTTTTTTTTTTTTTAAGAAAAAATTACCAAGAGACACATATTCTGAATCTAGAGCTTCTCTCATGTAAATGGATGGAGAACTGATGCAGATCGCCATTTTCTGAGAATCCTTGAATCCATAGGATGCCTCAAACAAAGTGCCAATACCATCAGTGTTAACTGAAAATCTCCTGTGACTTCTGTGTCATTAAAGTTTACAGAAATTAAAGAGATGCAAACCTGATTACACAGTAGTCAGTTATGCAAAGAATAGGTAGATTACAGTTATTCTGTTAGCAAACTTGGAGGTCTATTATAATAACCTACTTCTTAGAGGGGAACTTTTAGCAGTGCTATCTACTGCATCCAACATATTTTTAAACAGTGGGGTCAGCTTTGTGCAGCTTTGTGCACCTGAGTGAACCAAACGAATGTAAAGACCTCTCCAGGGAGGTCTGGTAACATTTCAGTGTCAATGAACTGAAGTGAAATGAACTGAAGTGTTCACAGGCTCTACTCTGTGGAGACTGACAATTCCAGAAAGAAGTTAAGTGAAATTGTCATTTGTATCTGGGGTGCTCCTCATTCTTGTTAACTAAGATTCTTCATGAATGATTCTCAGCAATTTCTCTAGAAAATGAACCAAACAAGCAGCCAAGTAGCCAACATGAAGTTTTCTCTGTGTTTCTTTAGCAGTTTAATGCATTTGTTTATTAGAAACAGAAGTGCTATCCTTAAATCAAGCAGTCCTTTCTTCAAGTGCGTCATCATATCTTTTGCTTCTTCAGATAAGGTTCACTGACCAAGGAGTATCTGAAGAATCTCCCCTGGCTCTCAGCGTTTTGAGGCCCACATGAGGGAAATGTCAAGAAGATTTGTATTTTGGAAACATGCATTCTTTTCTCATGGCTGCTGTAAATATTCTCTCTTTATCTTGCAAGCCCATCAGATGAAGAAAAATTATAGACTTTCTACTGCCTGGAATTTCAAGTAGGGTGTGTGGAAATTAGTTGAGAGTCTCAAAGCAGAGCAGTGAACGGACAACATCTTACACAGCCAAACCATGCAAGAACGGGTGGTCTCAAAAAACAACTAGATAACATTCACATTGTTCTGTTTTGAATGTGCATAAATAGAATTTTTCTTTGCTTTTTGGTAAACTTATGTTCAAAAAATATCTTGCAGGTGAAGTTCACAGCCATATGGCATCCTGGTTGTTTATTTCAGCTCTTGGCACATTACCTAACTCAGACAGGTACCACTGTACACATGTGAAAGGTGCTTTCTGAAAAGGTCCAGGTGAAAGGAAATGGATTTTCCCTGGGGAACTGAAAAGCATTTTTTTTAGGTCCAAGAATTATTGTTTTTTAGAAAACGTCTGTTTGGATTATCTTTCCAATTTTGTCATTAGAGTATGTAACATTTTCAGCTAGTAATGAATTGTTCTGTTTGGTGACACACAGTGACATTGTTCTTGGACTACTTGCCTGTCTCTGGCTTCTGAAAGCCCTGGTGTTCAGAAGACCAAATGGCATATTATACAGAGATTGCTTTGGCTAATGTTTCTTTCACTGGATAAATAATGATCAAATCATCATGCTGATACTGAACTGCAAGCAATATTCTTTCTCTACTGCTGTCGTCCTAGTTGGGCATTACTTAAACAGCCCAAATCTAATAGGATGCAAAGCAATCTTGCATTTAGCTCTTCTGTTTTACCCATTCCTTTCCTAAACAGTATTTATCAAGTATAGCTCTCTGAAGGCCTCTGCAGTAGGAGAGCACTGTGTGAAGAAGATGCATCACAAAGACAGATATTTAAAGAGAAAAAGTTAAAATTATGAGTCCTCTCAGGATAACAGTAACACTTACATTAACAAGATTTTTGCCACAAATGCCCACCGCATTATAGGCACAGTAGTCACTTCATATGAAATCATTATTAAAATCTGTTCGTCACTGGGAATTATTACTTTTTTTTTTTAATGTAGCTTTTTACTTATAGCAGATTTTATCTTAGCTTTTTTTTTTTTTTTTTTCTCCTCTCTACTAGCAACCATATATCTACATCTCAAATCTCACCCTTTGAAGATAACAACTAGGTCTCTTTCCTTTCTCCATTTCAGTTTTCTGATGCATCTCAGGTTCCAGGGTTATTAATCAACAGCCAGCTGAATGTGAGTGAGCAGCGTGCCCAGATGGCCAAGAAAGCCAATGTCATAGAATCATTGAATCACAGAATGGCCTGGGTTGAAAAGGACCATAATGATCATCTTGTTTCAACCTCCCTGCTATGTGCAGGATCGCCAACAAATTTCTTCACAGAAAGGGTGAATAGCCATTTGAAAAGCTTGATCTTGAAGATCTTTTCTGATCTACGTGTTTCTGCAGCTGCAGTGCTGTCCACATCTTATAAATGCAACTCTGCAGGGAGCAGCTGAGAGGAGAATTGATTTTTCAGGCACTCCAAAGAATTGGCTGTCATCAAACTGCATAAATCCTAAGTCAAGCCCGTACTACACTACATTAATAAAAGAGAGATTGTTTCTGTAGTGCTTTTAGTTGTATTCTCTTTGAGCAGATAAGATCAAAGCAATTATTCTAGATTGTATTCTTCAGAAATCTAGTTTTTCAGAATTTAAAGGCCTTCTTTATCTCTCTTCTGTAACAGGAAAATCCAAGCTTCCAGGTTTGAAAATATCTAATATGAAAAAAAGAAATATTCATTCGTATGAGATGTTGTATATGGAGAAAACTCTTTTATGGATAAAAATAAGCATTCACACTCCATTTCATTTTGTAAAACTGTCCCCTGCCCAGGCAAAAACAACAACAGAGTTAGGGCAGACAGGCAAGAAAAACTAGAATGAATGATTGCAAGTTTTCCAGAAAGCTGAGGAATAGAAACGTATTTATGGTATGGTTGCTGTATTAGAGGAAGAAATGGCCTTTGAGTTGCTGAAATGGAGCGCAGAATGAAGTGGAGAAGAGACAACAATAGCTAAATATTACTGTTTATTCATTTCACTTCTATTCAAATTATTACTGAAGTATTCAATCAAGTAAGCTTGATTACTATAAAAATAAACAGCCCACAAAGTTGTCATCAATCAAATTCCTAAGTTAATCCAGCAGAAAGAGAAACATAAATACATGAGAACGATTAGCTGACCTTGGCATGAAATGACTGTAGAAGGTTTGGAAAGACTGCAAAAGTTTTGAAGCTTAGCACACGTTTTCTACAGTGAAGGAATTAAATGTCATCCTCTCCCCCCTTCCATTCCTCCCTCCCCTCCCCTCCCCCCCAACATTTAAGAATCTGTGTATTTTTAAAAAGGATTTTAAGAAGCTTGGATAGATTTGTATGACAAATACATACAAAGAAAACAACTGATTAAATCTCTTCCTCCAGGGAAGGGAGGTCTTTTCCTCCCTGCTTAACTAACTTGCCTCTATTATCCTCCTTGCTTCCTTGCTCATTTCCTCACCTCTTAAATTTGTTAGCTGAAGAAAACTTGCCCACTAAAAGACCACAAGACTAGCTGGTTTTCTCCACGTAAGATTTTTTTTACTCACAGGCCAAAGGATCTCTGCTGGAAAAAACAACTACTGGATGGAACAAATACAAACAGGAATGTCTAAAAATGCTACAGGGATCAACTGTAGATACCGGTAAGTGTACAAACAGCAAAATAAAGACATGTTAAGCAGCATAGCTGAAAATGCAAATATTCATATAATGTTACTTGATTCACAGAAGTGTGTGACTCTTAAGGTCTAAATGTAAACAGCCAGTTATAACTAGACCTACAAATGTGCAGTCATGAAGTAAATGGCTGCCTTTGTCCTCAACTACTTTATATTGAAACAAGCCATAGAACAGCTGGTCGTGAGCTACTGCTGTGATACATCACAGACTACAGACTACTAGCTGAGAGGTCATTTGGATGAAGGAGACCTCTGTTCACTCCCTTTTTCAGCCTGAAGGAAGACAAGCAGTTATTTCTGGAAATTGTACTAAGCATAAGATAATGAGTCATCAAAGGAAAAGAAGATGACTCCCATTCCTCCTTTAGAAACTGAGCCATGGTGGACAAAAGTACAAAACAAAGGAGGCAAGGCAGCTGGGGTCTCCTCACTTTTCACAGAACTGCTTGTGCATTTTGCAGTTCAGCCATTAGTCAAAATAAGACAAGGAGACCAGGTTTTTCCATGCTTACCTGGCACTTGTTAACCTTATTTTACAGTTCTGAATTTATTCTCTAATCTCTATGACTTCTGGATTCTTGGCCCAAGACTAGAATAACTTCAGAGGATACAGTCTTTTCCTGAAAAGTTGCACAGGGAGGAATAGAATCCATATCTCTTACTTGTGGTTGGATGCTCTAAGGCTTATGTATTTGCTTTCTTTTTCTCAATTATTAAGGCAGACATATAATCTACAGATTTTTCACAGAACTTCCATCCTAGTTCTTGGCTGATTCATCCAGTTACATTTCAAAAGGTTTGTTGCCACACAAAGTTTAGAACTGAAACTCCTTCATTGCTGAATTACTGGGCTGAGGCCAATGGGATGAAGTTTAACACGACTAAGAGCTAGGTTCTGCACTTTGACCTCCACTCCCACATAACTAGCAACAGGACTAGAGGGAATGGCCTCAAGTTGCACCAGAGAAGGTTCAGGTTGGACATAATATACCCTAGGAGAGTCATGGAGCCTTTCTATCTTTCTTAAAAATTGGAGTAATGTTTCCCTTTTTCCGGTCACTGGGGACTTCACCAGACAACCATGATTTTTCAAATATGATGGAGAACGGCTCGGCAACCACATCGGCCATCTCTTTCAGAACCCTACAATGGATATCATCCGGCCCCATGGACTTAAACACGTTCAGTTTCATGAGGAGGACTCAGACTTGTTCCACTGTTAGAATGGGACAGAAACCACTCCCCACACTCTCACCTAGAGACTCATGGTCCTGGCAGACATGGGAAGCCTGATCACCCATGAAGACTGAGGCAAAGCACTCATTGAGTACTTCAGTTTTTTCTATGTCTGAGGAAGTCAGCTCCTTGTTACCTTTCATCAGAGGGGGAAGGAACACTCTCCTTGGCCTGTCTCCTCCTGCCTCTGTACCTGTAGTACCCCTACTTATTATCTTTCACATCTCTTGCCAAGTTCATCTGCGCCTTAGTTTTCCTAATCCTATCTCTACACACACGGACAACAGCCCTGTATTCCTCACAGGATACACAACCTTGCTTCCACTTTCTGTACATTTCCCTCTTTTCTCTCAGTTTAAGCTGCAGATCCTTGCAGTTCATGACAGTTGCCCGCATTCCCTGCTCAACTTCTGCTGAAGGATGGAGAGCCGTTGCACTCTCAGAAGGGTGCCCTTAAAGAGCTGCCTGCTCTGCTCTGTGCCCATGCCCTTAAGGACAGTTTCCCAGGGGATCCCACTCAGCAGTTCCTTGAGTAGCCAGAATTTTGCTCTCCTGAAGCATAGGGTCCTAGCTCTGCTTTTTGCCAGGTCTGCATTCTTCAAGATCACAAATTCCACAAAGGCATGGTCACTACAGCCCAGGCTGCCTCCAATCTTAACCTCTCTAATGCTCTCCTCTGCATTAGTCAGCACCAGGTCCAGTAAGGCTTCACCTCAGGTTGGTCAATCTATTACCTGGACCAGGAGGTTATCCTTAACAGACTCCAGGAATCTCTTGGATTGTCTGTCACCCACCGTGCTGCTCTTTCGGCAGATATCTGGGGTGATTGAAATCCCCCAACAGGACAAGAGCCTGTGAGCACGTCCCCTCCTGCAGCTGAAACAAAAAGGCCTTGTCAACAGCTTCCTCCTTATCAGGTTGCCTGTAGCAGACCCCAACCACTAGCTGCCCTTTACTGGACTGATCCTTGATTTTTACCCACAAGCTCTCGACCTGATCGTGGCCGTTCCTCAGATACAACTCTTAGCAAAATGCAAAAGCAGAACGTGTTATGGTGGGAAGTGGCAATTGCAAATGATCCAAATGACCCAGGAAGCCAAAAAGCAGTGACACATACAGAGATGTCAGAAGACAGAACTCCAGTTTTCAAGGAATAAAGTAAAAAGTATTTTTCTCCTGTCAGCCTACACAATCCACACTTGTCATAACTACCTGAATTCTCTACCTCTGATGAGATATGAGGGAAAGGAGTAATAAGAATATGTCTATAAATGTTAACAACTGTGTGGGTTGTAAGGCAGATGGAGTCACAGGTTCAAAGGTATTAACAGTGTATATGTTGTCCATGTGTTTTAGCAAAAGCACCCCAGAAAGCACACAATTATCCTTGTTTCTTCTTCCTACCAAGATCATCAAAGAATTGCTGATCATTATGGAAAATAAAGCAGGATATATTCTTCTACCTTGGATGGACAGAAAGCTGTGAAGTTCTCAGAGATGAGAACTTCAACTTATCCTAAAAAATGACAGAAAGACAGAAAACTAGAAAACCCAGAAACTAGTACAACCAGCAATGTTGAAGTGCAGTTTAAAGTGTTTTGTCTGCTTCTTTTGTCCTGTGAGTGATGTGGTATCTGTGATTAAAACAGATGGAGTTGGTCTGACAGGCTGCCAGCTCCCAATCCTTTATTACTGAAAGAGCAACAGAAGTCACTACCAGAGAAGCTGATGATTATCTGAGCTGAGAATTGGTGTCACAGGGGTCATGAAAAGTGGAATATTTTCCATTTGTCAGCAGTCTTTGATGTGTACACAGTGACTGAGAGCACGGCTGGAAGCTGTTACATTTAGAAAACAGAGGTCTTGGGATGATTTTAAACAACACTACTAGCTTGTGGCAAAGCACGTGAAACATGTTGGTTATGTGTAGGTCAAGGCAAAAAGAACAGCAACTGTTTCTGCCCTATTCACCAAACATAGCGCTGTGAATGCATGAAGTCTGTTACATTTTCTAAATACGCTTTTCATGCCAGAGCACAAGTGATCGTATGTTGTTTCCATATGAGAGGATTGATATTTACTCCACACTGAATGAATCTACATGCTTGCAGGTTGCTTAAAATGGTACACGATGTTTTTCATGAGCATTCATTGTTTGAAATATTTTTGTAAAGTATCTGTTTGCTTCTCTCCCCAGGAATACATTGTAATGGGACTTTTGATCAGTTTGTTTGCTGGCCATACTCAACCCCAGGAAAAGTATCTGTTCCTTGTCCTTCGTATTTGCCATGGTTGGAAAATGGTAATGTAAAAGTTGTAATTTTTCTTGGAGTTTATGCTGGCAATCCAGACACGTGACAAATAGTTCTGGTCTATTTTGTGACCAGTGACTTCATTTCAATTCTTTTCTGACTTGACACACAGAATTACAATCAGCGTTACAATCAGTTATTTACATTTTTTTACCCTTGTTTACCACTGATGGAGTTTTGTGCTTCACTTCTGCACTGTCAAAGCAAAATTTCCGAGAATATATAACTGTACAGTCAGGCCTTGATTGGCAGTAACAGATTTGAGGTTCAGCTTCTGGGATGCCCACTGATCCAAAAGATTAAGCACTGGAATGGAATAGACAAACTAATGGGTCTGAGCAGTCCACCCTCCACTGCAAAGTGCTGTGACAACAGCAAGTGGTGCACTGAACAAAAGGGTTTTCCAAACTGTGATGTTCTGGACAGAGTGGAGCAGGAAGGCCCTCCTGGAAGAGAAAAATACTACTATTAAAATATTACTCTGCAGGAGCAAAACCATCTGAAAGCAAATAGCTTTTCTTTTCTCCAAAAGAAATTAAAAAGCATTCTTATCAGCACAGTCTAGTGATTCTGAATCCTGCTTAGTTTTTCTTAGCTACTTATGGGTTTTGTTGTCATATTTGTAATACCTCTTAGAAGAACCAATTGTGCTTGAGTTCTTTGGTTGGGAATCTATGATGGGCTGCTTATCCTAGCTTTCTCCAGTCCACCCCACAAAAGATTTAATAAAAAAATGTGATCATCTGTCTTTTTTGGGGCTGTTTTGCTCCAAACCAGAGAAGACCAACCTTTATCTATTCTCTCAAATATCTGCTTCTTCCAATTACTTGTAACAAATTCAGCTGTTCAAAATAAACATGGTAGTATCTTACTTCCCTCCCTGTAACAGACTCCTTTTTTTTTTTTTTTTCCCTTTTTTTTCTTTTTTTTCTGTCTGAATTTCTACAAAAACAACCCCTAAGACATTGCACCAGATCATGAAGTTTTCCACTGTGATCGCAATGGGAAATACTAATACTAATTAGAATTAGGTTGGGATGCATTCTCGTCCATGCTCCAGTGTCTTAGGAGAAGTGTCATTGAGACAGCCCTGCTGTCTGTCCTAGTGATGCTGTGGATCTGGGGTTACCTGTGGTTCTCTCTTCTTCTCTTCATGTTTCCAAGGTACAGCTGTGTTTGTCCTGGAACACAACTGGACATGAACCAAAAATGCTTGTGGGCTTGAGATAGATTTTTTTTTGATTTGGTATCATTGCACTGGAAAACTAGTGTACTCTAGAACTAAGATTTTGGACCACATTTCATAGGAACTCCTTATTTTTTTCAGTGTTTAGATTAAGTATCTGCTCCAGTTATGGTCCACATAAATTTTAGCCTCTTTTCCTGGCTCTAGAATCCCAAGGCCCATCCTCACAGTAAGGCTCCTGCATGGCCTTTTTGAAGATTAGAGTATACAAAGTGTTGCCAAAATTCTCCCTAATGCTAATACAGAAGAGCTCACAAAACTTATTTTGTCTCTCCCACTTTATATCTGGCATTGGTCAGTTTACTGCCTTAAGAGCTAGCATAGCAATGAAGTGGGACCACACTACAGCAGAGCAATTTCTGAATGAAAGCTTAGGAAGGTGGTTCTCTAAATAAGATAAACCCTAAGATCCCTCCTGACCTGATCTGACATGAACTTCTGGATCCCTTAGCTTTTTGTCCTAGACAGGAACTTTTTCTTCCCCTGATATGCTTTTACTTTTTAAAGAGATATTTGTCATACTGTATAAATCATGTCCTTAAAGAGTCTCCATCTCTATACGGTATGGCAGAATGCTTGTAAACGTGGAGGTCATTTCCTGCCTGGGGAATCTGTTAAAACTCCACTACTTGTTGGAACATAAAATGTGCACTGAACATGGACAGACAATCCTCACACAAAGCTCCTGCACCATCACAGCAAACTGTGCTCCAAAAACAGTTCTCTCAGTTCCAGTCATTCAAAGTAAAATTAGATATTCTGGTGGTTGCTGCTGTATGGACAACTGTTATGAGATCCCCTCTTAGTCTTTTCTTCTCCAGACTGAACAGCCCCAGGACTCTCAGCCTTTCCTCATAAGGGAGATGCTCCAGGCCCTGACCATCTTTCCCTGTCTGCTGGGAACCTGAGCTGAGGAACCCAGAACTGGACACGATACTCCACATGTGACCTCACCAGAGCAGAATAGAGGGGAGAACCTCCCTCACCCTACTGGCCACACTCTTTGTAATGCACTACACATCACTGGCCTTCTTAGCCTCAAGGGCACACTGTTGGCTCATGGTCACTCTGATGGCCACCAGAATCCCTAGGTCCTTCTCTGCAGAGCATCTTTCCAGCAGGTCAGCACCTGTCCTGTACTGATGCACATGGTTATTCTTCCTCTGGTGTAGGACTCTTCATATGTCCTCTTTACTTCTTGAACTTCATTAGGTTCCTCTCTGCCCAACACTCGAGTCTGTTCAGGTCCCACTAAATGGCAGGACAGCCTTCCCCTATCAGCCACTCCTCCCAGCTTTGTATCATCAGAACATGCTGAGGGTGGATGTCCTTTCACCTAGGAAGATATTGAGGGAAGACTTAACCCAGCACTGTCCCGTAGGCCTCCAACTAGACTCTGAGTCATTGATCACAACTCTCTGAGCTCTGCCATTCAGCCAGATCTCAGTCCACCTCACCATCCACTCACCTAACCTGCACCTTGTTTCACAACAAGGATGTTGTGGGAGATGATGTCAAACACCTTGCTCAAGTCAAGATACACAAAATGCACTGCTCCCTCCCCATTGGTCAAACATGATTACCCCTTGGTGAATCCACATTAACTACTCCTGATAACTTTCTTCTCTTCTAATTTCTTGGAGATGACACCAAGAACAAGTAGCTCTATCACCTCTCCAGGGACAGAATTGAGGCTAACTGGCATGTAGTTTCGGTTCGGTTGTTCCTTCTGTGTCTGCATACACGGCCCTGTATGTGTGTATAGATATGAGGTGGTTGTTTTGCTTGGTTGGTTTTTGGTTTTGTTTTTTTTGTTTTTTTTTTCCTTTTTCCTCCAGATCCTTCTTCTTGCCCTTTTTGAAGACTGAGATGACACTGGCTATCCTCCCTACTTTCTTCTACACAAATGTGAAAATACATTGTCAAAGACAAAATAAAAGGTGTGGGGTTTTTTTGTTTTGTTTTGGCTTTGGTGGGTTTTTTTTGTTTGTTTGTTTGTTTTGTCTGCATTTGACTGAGGGTTTATTGCTATGGTGTAAGGGAGAAATCCTTAAAATGTTCATGAAAAATGAAATCTTTATTTTCACCTTTAAGACTAAGCCTCTATTTACTTTCAGGAAGTGCAGGAAATGTATACAGAGTCTGCTTAGATGAAGGAACTTGGCAAACGAAGGAAAACTCCACAGACATTTGGCGTGACAGTTCAGAATGTTCTGAGAAACATAATCTCCAAAAAACTGTAAGCATGATGTTTTATACCATGGTTTAATACTTTAATCTTCGTAATCCCTTCTTGAATAACTGATAAAATATTTCTGTTGAATACCTGCAAAAGATGTTCAGATTTCATTTGGATTACCAAACTGAAAACTGCTAAGAAGAAGCAGAGGAAGAAAGATTAAGGAAGGAGATTCTTGCTTTAGATTAGACAAATTGTTTTCTGTTTAGAGTCTAGCATTCACATGTGCTGAATCCCTCCTAATAAAATTGAAATAAAAAACCTGCAACTTGTCTAGCAAATAGCTCAGAGGACTGGAAGTTGGCCAAAGCCAGACTCCCAACCCCTGTGACCTCCTGAGCCTTTTAGTACAGCAGTTCAAGTTGGAAACCAGGAATCCTGATGTCTTGCCACCTTGCCCATCTGTGCAATGCCTCGCAATGAATGTTTCAGATAACAGTAAAACATACAACTGAATAGTTTTCAGCTTCTTGTAACTTCTTTTGCCACACTGTTCGGCTTTGCTGATCTCAAAAAATGCTGTTTGGTGAGCAGCATTACTACTGAACACTTTATTAATTTAGCTTTTGTTACTTTGGTAAATACTATTAATGTTTATTACTTTATTGATTTTATTTTTATTAGTAATTTATTGATGTCATGTATTATTTATTAATCAAGATTATTTCAGGATTACCAAGACCTTAATAAGCTCTTTATACAGTGAATATACGGTTTTCCAACCTCACAGTTTATTCAAGTGTGATAAATTTGGAGTACTTCATTTTTCTGCGGACCGTTGACTATCCGGGATTGTAAACTTGTGGGTGGAAGACTACCACTTTAATTCATCAGGTGTGACAACAAGAGAACAAGAGGTTTCTCTGAAAGCTTTAGCCAGCTTTCCAAACAAGCCTAAATGTGTGTTTATACCATGTAATTATATTTAGTCAAAATATATTCCTCACACAGGCTGTTAGGAATAACCCAATGCTTGTATCCACCCACATCTGATGAATCAACTTCATTTCATTTGCTTCAGATTTGAAAAAAGTCACAGCCAATATAATTCATCCAATTGGAATGTTTTCATGGAGCTGAGTGACTAATGAACATCCCTTGGGAATCTCCTGCTGTGCCACTGGGCATCCTCTCCAAGGGTTCCACCAGCAGGCACAGCTCACTCTGCTATCCAGATAGTCCAGATAGTGCTTATTAGCATAGACTGATTTAGAGACAACTAACTGGCAGGAGAAGAGTGTGATAATCTATGGCTGTATGAATAGATAGTTCACACAGTTAACAGCTAAGGTGTTGCTAAGGTGTTGCCAGACAAACCCTTGCCCAAATAAAACTCCTTAACACCTGTGTAGTATTAAGAAGCAGGCAGTCTATTTCAATGACTCTGTAGATACAGTTGAGGCTGAAAATTGTACTCGCAAGACCAGTGTGTGTCTTGTCTCCCCAGAACACACAAACAGTGATTGCATTTCAGTGCATGGGTGGAGCTCATGGAGCTCACTCTGCAGTTATTAAACATTAGGATCCATTTCATTTATATAATTGTTTTAATGATTAATAGTCATTAAGACTCAAAATTGGATTTGTGCAAGAGAAATCTGGAAATGGGACCTTGAATGCCTTCAAATTTGAGAAGAAACTTTGTTCTCCAGGATCTCTCCCACAAGGTTTTCATGAGGAAATGCAGGGAACAAACATCAGAAACTTGCCCTGGCTACGCTGCAACACAAATAAATTGGACTCAAAAGCTTCTGATTTATATTCATACCCTACTTACCTGCCTGCATATACATATGCAAAGCTCCTCTTTCTTTTTTTCTTTCCTAGGAAGAAGAACATAAATTACTTATCACACTACAGTTGCTGTACACTATAGGATATTATTTTTCTCTCATCTCACTTGTCTTAGCTCTCCTTATACTTTCTTTCCTCAGGTTAGTATGAATTTGCATGCATTTTTAAATATAGAACACAATATGCACATTGTTGTTTTTGCGTAGTTGTATTTATTATTTCTGATGTAAGTTTGGAGGAAATTCCTGTATAAAATCAATTGATGGCAACAATATAAGTACAACAGTATTTTTTGTTGTTGCTTTCTTTGAATTAAATATACTCCAGAGGATTTATACATTTTCTTCCCCACAGAAAACTTCACTGTACAAGAAACTACATCCATATGAATTTATTTGCATCTTTCATCTTGCGTGCCGCAGCCATTCTTATTAAAGACACTGTACTGCACAGGATTTACTCCAAAAGACCAAATGATGAAACTGGATGGATATTATACCTCAGTCCTGAGGTAACTTCTTAGTTTGTTGCTACTAGTAAATGTGTATTCCCAGTGGCAATAACAGTTCCCAATATAGAAGTTTGCCAGATAGCACCAAGTTTTAAGGTGTTTGCTAGTTGAGATTCAGATCTCAGGCAGTCTGGAAAAACTAATGCACTCACTAAAAAAACAACAAAAACAAACATACTAAAAAAAAAAAAATGTATAGATATGTTTAGGCACTTTTACTTAAGCAAAACAGTTTTTTCACACTTGCAGCCTTGGGGAGAAGTCAATACAGTTATTCAGCACTTACATAAGAATTCTTGCATTTATTCATTTTAGGTATGCATAGCAAAATGCAATGTACACAAATACTGCATTTAACACTATATTTCCAAACAACGCATTTACTGTGAAAGTATATGAAGGGGAAAGCAGTTCAGAGGCTTTTCAGTACTAGGAAAATGTACAAATTTCCAGAGTCAATATTGAACACAACAGCCATTGCAGAGTTACTTTAATAGAATCCCATATGGTTGAATTGGAAGGGACTTCACAGCCTCCCCAGCCCATCCCTGCCATGGGTTGGTTCTCCCCCAGCTCAGGCTGCACAGCGCCCGTCCATGGCCTTTGGGCACCTCCAAGGATGGGGAACCCACAACTCTCAGGACCTCATCACTTCTGGGTGAAGAATTTCCTCTTAGTAGCTAACCTAAATCTCTCCTCTTTCAGTTTAAAACCATTGCCCTTGTCCTGTCGCTATCAGACCACACAAAAAATTGGTCTCTCTCCTGTTTATAATCTCCCTTTAAATACTGGAGAGCCTCAGTGAAGTCTCTTTGAAGACTTCCCTTCTCCAGGCTGAACAAGATGAACTCTCTCAGCTTTTCTCCATAGGAGAGGTGCTCCAGCACTCTGAGCCTTCCCATGGCCATTCTCTGGACCAAGTCCAACAGATCTGCATCCTTCTACTGGGGGCCCCAGGCCTGGGCATGTGCTCCAGGTGGGGCCTCACAAGGACAGAACAGTTCTGCTTGTATACCAGGAGCACTTATCTTCTAGTAAACAATAAAATTAATACTCATCAGTACTTCCCCTTGTTCCCAAATATCAACCCCTGGCATGAACTCTGAGTTGTTTCCCGAATCATAATGCATCCTGAGTTGGAAAGGATCCACAAGGATCATAGAATCATAGAACTATAGGAACTTGGGTTGGAGGAACTCTTAAAGATCATCTAGTTCCAATCCCTCTGCAGTGGGGGATCATCAAGTCCAGCTCCAGGTTCCACACTACCCTAATATCAACTCATATGTCTGACATTTCACCAAATGCTTTTTGAACTCTGGTTCTACCCTTTTTTTCTTCAAAGGCAGAAACAAATCCAACCTAACTGGATCACACATTTACCTCTATTCCCAGAAAGTCCAGATCTCCCAAAATAACAGCAGCTCAGAATCTTGAAGTACATATGACTGAAATACATACATATCACAGCCACATACTGGTTTTAAAATGATTGCTGAAGTAACAGGGGATAATTAGGATTTGTCAGAGCTTTTATGTATTACAGTGGTTCCTGATCTTTCATTCCTACAGATTTTAATCATTTGCAGAACTGCTCAGTTTTTCATGCACTATTTTGTTGGAGCAAATTATTTTTGGCTATTAGTGGAAGGAATTTATCTGCATACGTTACTGATTACTGCTGTGTTCTCAGAAAGAAGACTGCTACAAACATATATAGTGATAGGATGGGGTGAGTACCTAACAATTTCAAAGTTCTTGATTCTGTGGTATTTTTTCAAGTCATTGAAAAAATGTGAATATTTGGTAATGAAAAGAGGAAAAAATGTTTCATTTTTGTTCTGAAACCAGCATTTCTCAATAGAAGTATATTAGAAGTGGCGTGCTAGCTGCAGCTCAGTTTGATTTGCAGATAGAGGTAATATCTTGGTTTACCTGAAAACAATAGCCTAATACAATAAGAAGAAAATTTACTACATTTGGTAATATTCTCTACCAGCATAGAATATTAAAGCTATCAGCACCTTCAATTTCTTCATTTGAATTAGAGCATCTATGTGGTCAAGATATCTACACATTAAATGCTTTGCTTTTATGTATTCACCTTCTGAGCTCAGCAGAACTTGCTGAAGCTCTAAAGTGTACTTTAAATTAGAGGACAGTTCAAAACACTACATGATTCATATCCTGTATTTTAGACATTTGTCATGGAAGAAAGACAACATAAAGACGGTTACAAGCATTTTAACAATGTTGTGTAAATTATTTTCTTTTTTTCATGTGAGTAGCGCATAATCGGACAATTGTGTTTGTTGCTCACTTATCATAATTCTGTATACAGCCTGAACAAAAGGGAAAGTCAAGATTTCCTAATTCCCAATAACCGTGTAAAATCTACCCATACAACTTGTAAGTCTTAGAAAGTTTTTTGTGAAGATTTAAAAATGTAATTTTAGACAATGTGTAGCTTTGGGCAGAACTGATTCATAGCTTATGGACTGACCTGAGAAGGATGATAAGGTGGATGGCCATAAGAATAGCTGCTGATCACAAAGCTTTAATCAGTGTATAAATTTACTAGCTCACTCACACCATTCAATTTACTTTTTCAAATGTAAAATTGCATACCCAGTACTGCAGGATATATATATATATATATCTGTGTGTATGTATATAAAACAAGAAAAAGAAAAAAAATGTACTAAGGAAAATTATTTTTAAAGGATTAAACTGTAGTAGATGACTATGCAGTTATAAATAAATTATTCCATATTTTCTCTGCTTTATTGTGTAATAAAATCTTTACCCAGGATAAAGAGGTAAATTTTAAAGATCTATTTAGACTCAAACAAAGAAAAACAAAATGTCAGTTAAGATTGAAATTATAATAATTACAGTTGGAATGGAAAAAAAAACGTTTAAAAATGCTTAAAATAAATTTTTATTTATTGTTATAAAGGCTGTTGTTATAAATTCCTTATCAATTTGACAGTAATTCACATCATTCAGTTCCAGGTGTCCAAAATTGTACAAGACTGTAATAATCACAGGGAATTGAGAAAAGACAGTTCCTTTTACTTCTTTTTGGTACCTGTACTATCTCTTGATATTTTAAATAGGAATTGAGTAGCATCTAAGAGACAAATATCCTTCTGGAATAATTTCTAGAATTAAGTGAATTTCAGTTAAGTCCACGTTTCCTATGTTTATGAATGTATTTATTAAATAAATATACATATATTTATGACATAGAGACCATTCCTGTAGAAAAATACCAATTCCTTAATCAAGATTCAAAACAGGGTTTCAGCATAAACTGGGAAATGTTACTGAACTAACACACATCAGTTCCTTTTGATAAACAAATATACTGGTCTTTGAAGTATGTATTGATCTCTAATGCTAAACTAGACTATATCTTAAGATTAGTCTATCTGATAGAGAGTGGGACTTATTTTGTCTAACCAAGTTAAATTTATGTGGATAATATCTACATTCTTCCCAGAACTAAAGGAGGAAGACAAGAAGGAATGGAACTGTGGAGATCATCTGGTCTCATCCCATTGCTAGACCTAGTGAGCATTGTCCAGACAAATATAATTTTGTATGGAAATCTGTTTTGTTTATTTTTAATAAAACGGTTTTCCAGAAAGAACCCCTGCTTCTTAAAATAAAAAACAACAACAAGAACACCAACATAAAAAACAGACAAACAAACAAACAAAAAACCCACATCAAAACTTCATGAACTTCATGAAAATGAAAATAAGACTGAAATATTTTCACTTTTGGTGTTTCATTGGAAAGTCTGAATTTTCCCATGTCCTAAGTGCCTTCCTCAAAATGTCACCTGCTTCAAAGTTACATGAGTTTGCTCAAAACCAGTAGAGTTCTGATTATTTGGAGGAATGGAAATGCCACTACTCGACTGTGTCCACATTTCAATTGCTTGATTGCTCTAATTGTGAAGCATATTTTCCTAATACCTAATATGAACTTTGCCTGCTACAGCTCTTTCCTATTTTCTACCACTCTTTTGCTGTGCACCTCCTGCTCTATGTGCTTCTGCTATCGTTAGTACTGAAGACAGCAGTTAGGCTTCCTTTTAAACTTTTCTTCTTAAGGCTGAAGACATTTAGTTCTCTCAGTCTCTTCTTCTGTATGATGCACTATAGGTCCCAGTAGTCTTGGTGGCCTCTGCTGGAGTATTCGTATTTCTTCTACTTTATCTACATCAGAGACTTAGAAAATTTAGACTGATCAGCAACATTTATGTATTCATGTATGTGCATACAATTTGCACACTGAAAATGTGATATTCAATTATACAATGAATTTCTCATTTTCTTTGAGGTGCAAATGGAGAAAAACAGAATTTTTGTACAACATCTAAGTAAAATGCTGAAAATCATATGTCTTTGTACCAGGGTCCGTAGTAGTGTGTCTTTATTTTGTATGAATCATTCTGGAAGTTTGGCTGGAATACCTTTTTTTTTTTTTTTACAGCTGTTCCTATTCTGTTTGTCGCCCCCTGGGGAATAAGCAGATCAAAACTGGAGAACACAGGGTAGGTTACTAGGCTAAACTGTCTTAGAATACTGGTTTTCATTTTGCTTATCTTTTTCCAGAAGCTTTTGACAGTAACTGACAAAACTATTGACTATTGGATTATATTAAGATTATACAGCACATAATAAGACTTGCTAGATCTTAAAGGTTTATTCTTTTCACATTTAACTACCGGAAATTCATGGATTCAGTTATGCATAAATCAAGAAGGAAAATGAACATTCACTGTTTCTCAAGTGAAAATTATTGTATCTATTTTTCACTCATCTGAGGCAATTTTCCTGCACAAACATCTTCCCTGAGGGCATCTCAGCAAGAAAAGGAGATCAGTGTTTTCCGTGGAGACCATCTTTGCTTTGAGTTTTATTAATATTCAATACCAGATTGGAAAAAAAAATTAGTTTTAGTAGATAATGATGAAATCTGATATTCACAGAAAGTTGAACTTGAATGTATTTAGTGTGAAATAATTGCTGAGGGTAACTTGCATTGGTAACCATCAGTTTTCTACTTTTCTGGTCTTCAATTTTCTACTGGTGTCACATAGACTTGGTTTTTCATATAAGATTTATTTTCTTTTTTTCTCTTTTTTTTTATTTGTGGTTCCTAAAGAGTTTTGTTTGGAGTAACCATATATTTATTAGGCAACAACATCAGGAACCGAATCACAATTACAGTCTCATAGAGGTTATACAGGCCTTAAATGACAAGCGCTCGTCCCACAGGTTTACATCAAGCTAATTGGCAAAAAAAGAATCATAGAATCATAAAATGGCTATGGGTTGGGAGGGATGATCAATGTCAATGATCAATCAATGATCATCCATTTCTACCCCCCTGCTGTGGGCAGGATTGCCAACCACTAGATCAAGCACCAGATAATGAATATGTGCATTGGACAAATCAGAAGTGTAGAGGAGAAAAGGAGATATTTTCCTGCTGACAGGAAGACAGCCAAAGTTATACTCATCTACAAAAAGTGCGTGTGAAATCCTGGAAACTATGGACACATTATTTTAACCTCAGTTCCTGGAAAAGCTATGGAGAAGATCAGCCTAGGAGATGTGAAAGGCAGCTTCAGGACAAAGCTATTATCAAGCATAGTTCACATGGATTTATTAAGTGAAACTATTACCTTAGTAGTTTCATCTCCTTTTGTGATAAAGTATTCTGCTTGGTGGATGAAGGGAAAGTAGTGAACATGATCTTTCTGGATTTTAGTAAGGCTGTTGATACTGTTCCTTATGGCTTCCTTCTAGAATAATTGTCCAACTGTGAGATAAACAGGTTGATACCATACTAGGTGATGAATTGGCATAATGCTAGAGCTCACAGTGTCACTGAATGGGGCTATATCTGTTTGGTGGATAGTCCCTAACAGGGCTCCCCAGACCTCACTTTTTATCAGTGATCTGAATGCAAGAGTAAATGCATCATCAGCAAGTGTACTTGTGAGTCTAAAGTGGGAGGATTTGTTGGCCCTCCAGAGGGACAAGTAGCCTTGAAGAGGGATTTACATGAGTTGATCATCAATGGCATGAAGTTCAAGAAAAGCAAGTGCCAAGCTCTGTGCCTGAGACAGAACAATGCCAGACACAGTTATGGACTGGGAGATGAATGTCCAGAGAACACCCTGCAGAAAGAGACCTAGAGGTGCTGGTTGATAGCAGGCTCAATGTGCATCGTGCCAACAGAATGCCTTGGCAGCCAAAAGGACAAAATGCATTTTGGGGTGCATTAAACACATTTTAGCCAGCCAGAGATAATTCTCCCATTATACTCAGTGTTGGTGTGGTCTCACCTTGCATACTGTGTACAGTTCTGGTCTTCACAATATAAAAGGACATAAAGGTTCTTGAAAGCATCAAGAGGAGGGCAGCAACACTGGTAAAAGGGCTGGAAGGCATGTCCTGTGAAAAGTAGCTGAGGACACAGAGGTTGTCTGTTTTGGAGAAAAGGAGGCCTAGAGGTGACCTCAACAACTCCGTGAGGAGGAGAAACAGAGGGAGGTGCTGGGCTCTGCTCCCTGGTAACTGTTAGTGGGGATTTCCGACTGGATATTTGGCAAAATTTCTTTAACTGTGATAGTGGTCAAGCAATGGAACAGGTTTCTGAGATATGTGGTTTGTGTCCCATGCCTATCAATATTTGTGATGTATTTGGATAATGCACTCAATAAGATGCTTTAACTTTTGCTTAGCCCAAAAGTGATCAGGCATTGGATTTGATCTCTGAAGGTCCTTTCCAACTCAACTATTCTGTTCCATTCACAGTCTGTATGCATACTTCTTAGTTAGTTAGTTCTGAAGTTACAACTCAGGTTTACTCTTTTCCGGTTTATGGTTTTAGGTGACTGTGAAGTTTCAGTGCCACTTGTAGTTGTAGTGTAGATCCAAAGGAAGAATTCACTGGATAGTTTTGAGGTTTGCAGCCTAAGGAAACTTCTCTCAAAATTCTAACAGGAAGGTCTTCACAAAATGTACAGTTGTTGATTATATTCTTCATAGTTTAATTCAGTTTCTCTTGAACACCACCTAGAAGTTTAAACTTTGTTAAGTTTTCTTTGCTATATGTACGTGCGTTATTTAAGCTTTCTTATTTATTTCCATGAAAACAATTTAATATTTTTTTTAAATTATTCTGCAGGTGCTGGGGAACAAATGAACACATGGGAATCTGGTGGATCATTCGAGGACCAATGTTGTTTTCCATTACGGTAAGAACTATTTTATCTGTTCCTTGCATGATGGCTGCATCAAAAGTAACATCTCTTATTTTATCATGTTGGCCCTTGATGCATGAAAAGGTGTTCCATAGATGCAAGTTTGCTCAATCAAATAGCATTACTGTGCTCTTTGTATCTGCAATTTCCATGGAAATAAATAGGAAGCATTTATTTCAGAGAATCCTACACACAGCATACACAACTATATCTATTGTGATCCTTTCTATAAATGTAATCCAATTGTCGTATTAGAGGAGATGAGGCAGAAAAGATTGTAAATGAGATTTCTTATTCGTTGTCAGTGCACACAGTTTCACATTATAAATCTGTAAGGAAGAAAATTTTCAGTGTCAGCCTCTCAACTGTGTATCTGCGCAGTGACTTCTGCAATGAGTACTGTGTCCAGGTCTGGAGCCCCCAGTACAAGAAAGACAGGGAGCTGTTGGAGAGGGTCCAGAGGAGGGCCACGAAGATGGTCAGAGGACTGGAGCACCTCCTCTATGAAGACAGACTGAGGGAGTTGGGCTTGTTCAGCATGGAGAAGAGAAGGCTGCAGTGTGACCTCATTGCAGCCTTTCAGTACCTAAAGGGAGCCTACAAAGAGGAGGGGAATCCACTCTTTGAAAGGGTTGATAACTGCAGGACAAAGGGAAATGGTTTGAAGTTGAGGGAGGGAAGATTTAGGTTGGATGTCATGGGGAAGTTCTTTACAGAGAGTGGTGAGGTGCTGGAACAGTTGCCTAGAGAGGTTGTGGATGTCCCATCCCTGGAAGTGTTCAAGGCCAGGTTGAATGGGGCCCTGGACAGCCTGGTCTAGTATTAAATGTGGAGTTTGATGACCCTGCCTGTGGCAGGGGAGTTGGAGATTCATGATCCTTGAGATTCCCTCCAACCCTGGCCATTCTGTGATTCTGTAATGCTCTGCACAAACTAACACAAAACCTTCTTGTACCTGCTTCTTGTATTTTTACCATACTTCATTCAGTGAACAGGTTACTTAGGACAGTACTAACACATGGTGAGCTGCTATAGAGTATGTTGTACAATAACAAGGATACGAAGAAGTAGTAACAAAAAATATTGATGGTCATAGGGAGAAAGCATTCATCTAAACAAGCACCAGAATAATGTAAAAAAAATGTAGTAAGGCAGAACAAGACTAAGATATGTTTTCAAAAAAAAGTCTAAACCTGAAATTATATGGTAATGAAGAGACGAAAATAGCACATTCAGAAGAATTCCTGAGGATATGATTACAAACACAGAATTCTGATGGGTGAGGATTAGGTATGTCCCCAGCACAAACTTACACAGTCGACAAGGCATAAAAAAGATGAGAGGAATAGATGATTTGATCAGCATCCTGCTAGTCTGTCTAGCAAATATTGAAGAGAAGAAATCCACTTTACTTACGCTCAGACTGTAATACTGAGGAACCGATGGATGTGGAAAGAAAGGTGTTTCCTCATGGGAAACGTTCCTATGTTCTGCTCAGGGTTCATGCCATCCCCACTGTGACCCAACATCTCACCACGTATGCACCAATGTGATGTGAGGCAAAATGGCATTTATTGCAAGCGAACAGCAACCTATGTACTCTACATTCTTATCTACGTTCCTACGTCTACATACATCTACGCCCCAAGCGTGCGTCACATCTCTTATCACAGAGCAGGGGAGGTCCTATCGCGTCACTGCCCAACTCCTCGTAAACGCCTACGACAACATCTCCCCCTCCCCGTGCTTGGTAAAGCCTTGCCCCGTTACAGAGCGATACTCGCATACTGCCTAATAGCGCTAGTGAAGGTTATACAAACGATTATATGTTGCGTTCCTTACAATCTCTCACATAGCTTAAGGTACTCCATTCGTTGGTCAAAAGTTCGCTCCATCACGTGTCGCAAGCAGCATTGCATGTGCCAAATTTTCACATATAATATGACTACAAGCACTAAACAAACTACTGTTAGAGTTAATATGATCACAACTGGGTGCAGAATGGCATTAAACACTCCTCTCGCTGTAGGCGACCATCCAAGAAGCACTTCCCACCAATGATGTTCTCCGTCCTTCTTTACCCTTTCTAGGACACGATGTATCTCTTTCGTATCATGGTGAACAGTGATCAAGGTTTTCTGTCCATTGTTCCAAATGCGTTATAGCAATTGGTACAGATCATCATGTTGCAGCAGTTTCCCCACTAAATCGAAGTCCATTCCAATAGGAGTTGGTAAAAAAGTCCTGAATCAGTGTGTAACTAGACTGCAATAACTAAAATGATGTAACTGGAGCTGTATAATTAAAATCACACCCTACAATATTAGTAAAGTTACAAATACAGAGATTTGAATAATTACCAGTATCCATAGTAATATTATCTATGAGTATGGAATTACAAGGGGCCCTCATACAAACACATCCGTCCCCAATATATACAAGCACTGTTTCCAGTACCTCATTGGGATGAATCTCAAAATGGCAGATGTTCTGTTCAGTATCAAGACAAATGTCTTGAGCCCTGAGAGTGTTGCCTTCACAAACAAAGCCTCGTTGTTCCTGTACAGCACATGAGCTAACATCTACAGTTTGCTATTTTTCCCCTTTTTCCAAGCCCATTCTCGATGTTCTATTGGATAAAGTATAACCCCATCATGATTCAATCCCAACGCAATAATTGGGTATATCGTGTATATTGAAGCATTGCGTATCGTTAGGACAAAAACTGTGGCATAGTTGGCAACAGGATCATAAGTGAAATTAACTAAGTGCCACCAAGATTGAAATTTCCTTTCAAATTCATTCGCTTTGTTCCAAATCACCTTCTGAATCTCTGTAGGCAGGGTACCTGCCTCATCTTCCCTCGCAATTGCTGCTACCATGGATTGCATCCATATTTGGGCTTGGATGCAGCTAAGCGCTAGAGAAGTATCATTTTGAGTCGCAGCGAGTGCATCTACAATCAAATGATGGTCTTTCATATTAGTCCTTTCCCAATACATCTGATAAAATCCACTGGTTGGTTCCTAATGCCGATAAAGAGGACTGTAAAGGATGTTGCAGTGCATATAAATCACTTGTGGCTGTACTCAATTTATTCATAAGCATCTCGGCATCTATACTGTTCAGGACCCTGTGCCCTGTCTTTTCCACCGCCTCTATAAGGTGTGTGACTCCTTTTGAATCAAGGGGCACCCATACATGGCCTTCATCTCCCACTACAACTGGGTACCTCCCACCGGCAAGCCTTTGTCCTCTATCTCTTCTCTAATCTTTGACCAATCCATAATTGGGCTACGCCCACCCTTACCCCCCTCCGGAGTAGTGGGCAAATTTCGTAACAAAGGATACAACGGTTGCCGCGGTGGTGCAACCGGATACGGAGGTGGAGCCTCCTGTTGCACGCCGGAATGAGAAGAAGGGACTGCCAATGACCTGCCATCCTGCTGTTTTTCGAATCCAGTAGATGTGGTCGGTTGTGTTCCTATTTCCTTTGTGCAGCTGCCAACGACATCGCCCCCTCCCCTCCCTGCCGACGGCTCTCCCCTCCCCTGGATCCTCTTGATTAGGAGACCGTTGAAACCTGCTCAAGTCCTCACCTGTGTCGGTCCCTATCCCAAGCAGTAAATGTGCCACACCAGTAGCATTCTTGTCCTCCCTGGCCACCCTGAGAGCACCCAAAAGTAAGCCCCAAGTCTTAAGCTCAGCGCCCTTTTGAGCGCTCATTGCATGGTGCGCGAGCACCGTGGTGAGAGAATCCCACCTCTGATGGTTGAGAACATCACTGGGGGAGCGTATCTCCCCCTCCCGCTCCAGGCGGGAAAGAACGGCAGCTATCTCCTTCCTAGAAAGAGGGTACTTGCCGCAATATTCTGTGAAGATGAGCTGCACAATCGTCCCCATGGTCTTCTGCGGTCTAAAAGGCGCCCTGCCGTCCCCTTGGGTTTACTGCACCAAAACTATTTTTGAGCAGGGCAATATAGGAATGTAGCCTCACACGGGGCACTACTTGTTTCCTCGTGGGAAACCCCTTGTTCCTCGACGTTCCTATGTTCTTCTCAGGGTTCATGCCGTCCCCGCTGTGACCCAACATCTCACCACGTATGCACCAATGTGATGTAAGGCAAAATGGCATTTATTGCAAGCGAACAGCGACCTATATACTCTACATTCTTATCTACGTTCCTACGTCTACATACATCTACGCCCCAAGCGTGCGTCACATCTCTTATCACAGAGCAGGGGAGGTCCTATCGCATCACAGCCCGACTCCTCATAAACGCCTACGACAACAGAAGGGTATGATTTTCTGTCATGCTGTGGAGAGATGTAGCAATTATGACTTTTGAGAAGAAGCAGTGGACTGTTTTGCTTCTGCTGAGTTGGAGAGAAACACATGAGAGAGAAAGGGGATGTGGCTCGGACTGAGCTGTGAAGCAGAGTGGCACACTTTTTAAGCAGACAATGAGAAGTAAAAAGTTTGATGGACAACAGTGCCCTCTCTGTCTGTCAAAAGGCAGTGGGGAGAAGAGCCAGAAAAGAACGAATCACATCACAGAATCATCAAAGAATCATAGAATGGCCTGGATTGAAAAAGACCACAATGATCATCTAGTTCCAATCCCCTGGTATGTGCAGGGTCACTAACCCTGCTGCCCAGAACCACATCCAGCCTGGCCTTGAATGCCTCCAGGGATGGGGCATCCACAAACTCCTTGGGCAACCCATTCCAGTGCATCATCACCCTCTGACTGAAAAACTTCCTCCTATCTAACTTAAACCTCCCGTCTCAGTTTAAAACCATTCCCCCTTGTCCTATCACCATCCACTCTCGTAAACAGCCGTTCCCCCTCCTGTTTATTCGCTCCCTTCAAATACTGGAAAGCCACAATGAGGTCTCCCCAAAGCCTCTCTTCTCCAATTGAAACAATTCCAGTTCCCTCAACCTTTCTTCATAGGAGAGCTGCTCCAGCCCTCTGACCATCTCAGTGCCCTCCTCTGGACCCGCTCCAAGAGCTCCACGTCCTTCCTGTGCTGGGGGCCCCAGGCCTGGACGCAGTGCTGCAGATGGGGCCTCACAGGAGCCGAGTAGAGAGGGACAATCACCTCCCTCTCCCTGCTGGCCACTCCTTTTTTAATGCAGCCCAGAACACAGTTGGCCTTCCAGGCTGCAAGCGCACACTGCTGGCTCATGTCAGCTTCTCACCCACCAGGACCCCCGAGTCCTTCTCCGCAGAGCTGCTCTCAAGGAGATCTTCCCCCAGTTTGTATAAATAAAGAGAAGAGACTTGAAAGGTGTAAGAAGGAAAAAGCTGAAAGAGAGCAGAACTGCCCCAAAACTAAGGGAGGGATCATGATCAACAAAGTCTAGAACTTCAGATCCAGAGGGGGTCTAAACTAATAAATAATCAATATGTATTTTCTTTCAAGGTTAATTTTGGCATCTTCTTAAAAATTCTGAGGATGTTGATTTCCAAACTAAAGGCCCAGCAAATGAGCTTTCATGACTACAAATACAGGTATGTAATACATCACAAGAAATCCTAGTCCTTTTTATTTTCATAGCATCAGAATGTACCCATCGTGTCCTCGCAGATTACACACTTACTACCCACCACTGCCAATGTAAAATATATTCAGAACATAGAGAAACCAGCTGGGAAACCAGGCTCCGCAAATAATTTCTTATCTGAGTGATAAGAACTCAAGGAGTTTAAAATGCAGTATGGATTCTTCTCTTGGGTGTCCAGATTGCATATAAAATAGGCTTCACTGCTGTAACTTCTTTTTTCTGTGATTGTGACAAAGGGCCCTCAAAAGAAGAAATGTTCAGAAGATCTGTGAAATGCTCCTACTTTCCTTGGTCACCAGCACCTACCTGTTTTTCACAGACACAGGCACTGTGCAAACTTACTGAGCTTGCACCCCCTCCATCAAGATCAAAGATTAAAATGTTCAATAAAATTGGCCGTAGTACTGAGCCCTGAGGAACACCACTCGTGACTGGTTGCCAAACAGATTTAACAGTGACCCTTTGGGCCCAGCAATCCAGCTGGGCTAGCCATCCATTCAAACTATGAGCAGTCAGTTCCTCCAGGAGAAGGGTGTGGGATACAATATCAAATGCCTTGCGAAAGTCGAAGTAAACAATATCTACAGCTTTTCCCTCATGCACTAAGCAGGTCATCTTATTATAGAAGATCAGGTTAGTCAAGAAGGACCTGCCTTTCATAAACACATGCTGACTGTGTCTGCTCACTTGGTTGTCCTGTACATGGTTTGTGATTTCACCCAAGATGCTCTGCTCCATGACTTTGCCTGCACTGATGTCAGTCTGACAGGTGTGTTAATCCCCCAGTCCTCCTTTCTCCCTTCTTACAGATGGACCACCCTAGTTAGCTGGGCAGTCATTTCTGGAATAATTTCTATGTACAGCAACTTTCAAATTTGCACTAAGGATGTTGAGAAATACCATAAGTAAATATTTTCTTTTTAAGACTGGCAAGATCTACACTTGTGCTGATTCCATTGCTGGGGATCCATGAGTTTATATTTTCCTTCATCACTGATGAACAGGTGAAAGGATTTCCAAGACATGTAAGACTTTTCATTCAGCTGACAATGAGTTCATTTCATGTAAGTACTGTTTTGCAAGTACTTTTTAGGTGTCACCTATCCACCACCTATGTATGTTGCTTATCTGTAGATTCCACAGGCATATAGCATCCTTTTAAAATAGTTTACTATTGCCTGTAATGTCTTTAAATATACAGTAGAGATGATAAAAAATACATGGATAGATGGCACCAGCATCTCTTCCCTTTTCCACTGATGCAGTTACACCATCATAGAAGGCAACCTGTTCAGGAAACAGAAAGTTTGTTTAACAGAAAATCCGGTGAAGCTGCTCTCTGAGTGATGTGGCTGTCCTTGTTGTGAGGCATTAGGTATTCCTCCTACCTCCAATGTTTAAAACCTCCAATGGTTAAAAGAACATTTCTACTTTCTGCTTCCATAGTTCCTGAAATTTGTCTTGCATTGTTAACACATGTGGAACTGTACCTCATACTTCATATCTACACGTATCTCTAATTAGAACTATTTTTCCTCTTAGTAATTATTTCAGCTTGACCAACAGGTGAGCTATCCTGTTTTCATGACAAATAACTGCAAAAGGAAACTTCATACAAGTCCTCATGGGATGCAATTCATAATTTTTAGCAAAGATTTTAAGAAAGAACCGTTTTAATGAAGTTACCATATCTCAGTTTCTTTGGGAAGGCAGAAAAGGTTAGCAATTTAACTTTCCTGAGTAAAGAAAGATCTTTGCTGCTCTCTCCTGAGAGAACTAGGCAATTCACAATGTATCAACAGTTATTCAGATGAATGACAATGTGGTTCATTCCTGTAATACCCCTCTTGAAATGTCTGTGCATCAAACTTTTCTACTGAAAAAATATTATCAGTCCTCATCCAGAGTTTGGCTCCATTTCCCTAAAGGATGTATACCTAAAGGATTGTCACTGCAAAGTGACAATATGGCCTCCTAGATGTAAACTTGTAAAGTACAGAACTTGTGAAAAAACTTACAGAGCAAAGAGAAGACTGTCAGTGTACATACATGGGTGGAACAGATAGATGGATAGCATCTGCAGGTAAAAAATATTTCCCACCTATACAGGCAGTGAAGTGTTTTAAAGATGTTTATGCACTTGACTCCCTTTCAGTTATCCTGCTTTAGTAGTGAGTGAATATGCACCAACTTAAAGCAGTGAAGGCATATGTATAGTGCTGGTAGCTCTGCACGCTTATATCTTGAGCAGCAAACTTGAAGGTGTAAATGAAGCATGCTCCATTATAGTAGTTAATGCCAAAAAGTCCAAATTCCACAGCTAGCCATTACTGAAAATGAATAGTGAATCTCACCACTCTCACCATCACTTCTGCACAACTACACTTGTGTTTCATAGTAACTATATTCTGCGGTTTGGAAAGGCTAAGGAATGAACATATCAGTCACTGCACTGCTATATGCATTAATCCATGTTATACAAAGTTGCTGAGTATTGATTTTTTACATGTAGCACTCCAATTTAACTACCTTTCCAGGTAGTTTGAGGGAACTGGGGGTGTTCAGCATGGAGAAGGCTCCATGGAGACCTCACTGTGGCATTCCAGAACTTCAGGGGAGTTGATAAACAGGAAGGAGAGAGACTTTTTACATGGTCTGATAGTGATAGAACAAGGAGGAATGGTTTTAAAGTAAAAGAAGGGAGATATAGGTTAGATATGAGGAGGAAATTCTTTACCTAGAGGCAGTGAGGCCACAGTACTGATGCTAGCATGAACTGGGGGGGG